TGCCTTCTCTTACAGCAGAGGATATAAGTTGCCCAGCAGCCTCTATGGTAGCACAGCCAAACAACCAATTATAAGCTGCAGATATGGCATACATGCTGTACTGGTATTGTTCACAATATGTATGCAATTCAAAAGCCACCATTTAAACACCCTTGTCAAAACCTCAACCTTTTGAAACTGCGCATTGTCACTGATGCAATTGTTTTCTTGTGGTTTCAGATGCCAAAGAAATCAGCACACTCCACAAGTTTCATGCCTTCTAGCAGTTGTGTTCACTTCAGACAATTGGATCAGTGTTGTACAGCTACAATTCCTGCAGTTTTTCATCATTTGCCTGAGTTTACACAAGGGATAAAACAGAGGGCAATTCGTCTCTAAGCCAAAGGAAAAGAACTAGCACTTTTCTCCTGTTGAAGCAGTGCAAGTGTGATGTAAGATCTCTGGGATTTGAACAGAGATGCAGTTCACTGGAGAAATTCATAAATGGAATTCTGTAGTTTCCTTGGAGCAATTACAGCAATTATTGGCATATTGTAATCAATTATTAGGCAAACTCAAATGCAGCTCTGTATAAAACAAACAATGCAATCAGTAATATAGAAAAAGCTAACTAAAGGAAATCTGAGTCACCAAGCTACGGAGTCCCGATTTATTGACAATAAGAAAAGTCAGATATTTCAGATTCATTAGATACATGATACAGCTACACAGCTAAAATGTGTTCAATGTAAAATCTATTATATTTCCTTGTTCTTATTGACATAACATTTTGCTTTTCATGTGGAGTTTCACACTGAAAAAACTATCAACTGAATGAAGATCTTACCCTGCTGAGAATTAACAATATTCCTTCCTTGCATCTCTGTTGTACAGCCTAACAAGCACAGGGTACTCCTATATTATACTCTTAGATACATATAACTTGTTTCAATCTCAGCCATACCATCTTTTTTGCAATGATGGCGTTGTTATTGAAGCTTCAGGATGAAAATAGGGAATATATATGGAGATAACAAACCTCAATCATCCAAGGAGCAAACCAAAGTACATGACAGATGGAGGGGAACTCTGTCAGTGTTAATAAACTGTGCCTGCTGCTCGGTTTACTACACAGTAGTTCGGAGTAGTTTTTCAGTCTGCAAGCCTGGCCTCCCTGGGGATGCTCAAAGCAAGCCTGGAGAAACAGAAGGAAAAAAAAATACTCCTTTTGCTTAACCATTTCCACTTAGAATTCAGTAAAAGCTGGCAGATGGAATTTTTAACAAGTTTCTCCTCTTGCCGGTTCCTGAAACAGTTATGGTTAACCAAATAGGAAAACTACCCTGTTGTGACATTTAACTATCAAATGTCTGTGCTTTGTTAGCTCAGGGAATGGAGTAAGCAGAAAACTATCCTCTCCCTTAAAAACTCCTGGGTGAGAAGGAAAGGAAAAATAGTCATTAAGATTCCTGCGGTGCTTTGAAGCAAATGTTTGACATTTACCTTTGATACATCCATTAATCTCTAGCTCTCTTCCACATTCCTCCATTTTCTCCTGACAATAACTGAGACATTTTGGCCTGAACTGTTGGGTATAATATTAGTGGATGTTGCTGAAGAAGAGGCAAGCTTTTCACAAGAACAGGACAGTGATTCCTGTGTATTACCTACCCTCACCAGACAGTGATAAGGCTTTACCAGTAATCACCTTAATATACAGAATAAAAGATGTTACAGGAAAACACAGAAATATATTTTTATTACCACGCCCTGGCAATAACCATAGATCCCAGAGGTTTATTTTAACCCTCTTGTTTAATTTAAGGTCATTGTAGTCTCCCATGCTTGAGCTGCAATATTTAAAACCTCATTAAGTTTATGACCTTGCAATTAACTCGCTAGCTCAGTTTTGTCACGTTCCTTCTCTGTGGTGGGTCTGGAAGCAAAAGACTTAAGGACGTCTCTGTATTATTACTGCACCAGCCAGCTGGTAGCAGAGAACCCCATCACCCCTAACACAAAGTCAAAAATGCACAGAAGAGTCAAGATCAGAACAGCAACACTGGCTGCACGTGAGCATGAGCAGGTTGTCCCCGTTCATGTAGGCAGGCTTATCCATGCCCTGTTCTTCAAAATATACAAGGAAAGCAGCCTGGAATCTGACCAAACACTAGAGACAGATATCTGGAAAACACAACAGATCTGACCATAGACAGAAGACACATTTTGGGAGAGATTTGCAGTTTAAAATTTCTCAGACATATCATACATACAGATTGACGACAATGCAGATATTTTTTACTAAATATTGATAGCCATTATTCTCCTGACATTTCAATATTCTTATTCCTCACCCATTATATTTTAATCTTGTTTATTGCAGAGAACAAGCGAACACTGATTTAACGATGTTCTTGAAATCCATCCAAATACCATCCATGAGATGTAATTTCTTAAAAGGATTAAACTACTTCCAAAATTAGAGCCAATGAGACATAGCTGTGTTGGTTCAACACAACAAACAATGTGATGTCAGAGTAGAGAAGTAATAAGAGTGCGGGATAACTGACAGTGTAATCTCATTGCAAACAGTCTTCTGTCCTGGGCCCTTCAAAAGCCAGAGACAACAGCACACTATAATAGAAATCATTCAACTGAAGATTTGATCATCCCGTCCTGCAGAGTAGCCCATACACGACACAAGTCCTGGCTACAGTCAACAACCACCCTTCAAAAAAGTCTGAAATCCCAAGAGGACCTTGTGAATTATGAGGAAATCCACTGGTTCTTCCTTTAAGTTGGGTTAAAGGCCCTGATGACTGAAAGATGAGCTTGTGTGATACTGATCTGAATGGCAACAATCCTTTCTCAGAACCATTATGCACAGCTGTAACTATAAAGGTGCAGCTTCTGTTTTTACATTCATATGTTTTACTTTTGGATATCTCTGCTGGTTGATTGCTTAATGGCAGAACTTAACACTAAGATCAAAATGATAAAAATCTTTCCAAATGATCTCCAGGAATGCCTTGACAATCCTAAGCTCTGCACAATTGCATAAAGACCCCCTTTAACCTCCCCTACACCCTCCAGGTATGCAGAGAATAACTGCTGAGCCAAGCATTTATGGTTCTAAGGTACCTTTGTATGCCAGATATCTGGCCAAAATTATGCAGATTTTAATATGAGAAACGGCAATGAGTCACAAATCAATTCCTTGTTTATTTTTCACACTATGTGGAGGATAACTCTTCTTGTGTACTTATTCTGCAGAAATGCCAGAACAGCTTTGTAGTCTGTGAAATATTGCCCATGTGTTTTAATCCTCTGGAATGTGTCATTGCAAAACATCACCATAATACACAGATGTTGCTTTATGTACAACACACACAGGTTAGGAAAACACCCCCACCCTGAGGCACTACACCTCACTCTCAAGCCCTGCTAGCAGCCCTGTAGAGGCCGACAGCATACAATTAACTTGTTTTCAGCAAGTGCACTTCATAATCCAATAGTGCTGCTCTATTTGCACAGTATGAGTCACCAAATTATTTAGTTCTAAAAGAAAGGGGTGAGAATATCAGCCTTCATCATTATTCCTCATACGCATAAGGATTTATCTTAAACAGATGTGCATAGAATTATCAACCATGGTAAATATAACACATTTAAACTGAGATCATCTGAATATAGGGAACTTACACTGACTCTGAGATATGACCTATGCATCTTTTCTAAAATAGCAAGCAGCTGAGGGGAAAGAGTGTAAGGTGATAAGCAAGAAGTAGGTCTGGTCCAGCAGCCTGGGGCAGGAGCACACACATTTAGTCATGCCATTACAACGACTCATGAAAGTTCATGGGTTTCTGTTGCTGTAAGGCTGTTCTGTGACGTTGTGTGAACTTGTGTGCTCAGTCTGCATTCAGCATAGTTGCTTGATTAAAAAATGGCAGACCACATAGAAGGTGGAAGTGGCAGAAGTGGGGTGGAAATCAGCAATTGTGGCCATATATAATAACTGCTAAGGCGCAATTCTGGTCATTCAAATGCACAATGTGCTTCATTCCCTGACAAAACAGTTTCTAGACATATCTGGGTTCTTCAGCCAGCATGCAACTATCAATGAATGTCTGAGAAAGGGGAGCAGGACAACAGGCTGCCTGCAGAACAAAAGGGACCAGGGGAAATAGTGCTACGGCTGAGTCCCAGCAGGGGATCATCCATCTCTCAACGCCTGTGGCTGTGACAGGCTTGCTGTCTGTCATCCACGGCAACATCCCTTGCTCTGCATCGGTGAGTTTCACCAGCCTTCTGCAGGACAGAAAATTGGACATCCAGTAGTCACTTAGCAGTGAATGCGAGTGCAGCAGCACAGCCAGCCCAGTCCATGTTGTCATACAGGGTGGTGAGGCACTGGAACAGGTTGCCCAAGGAGGCTGTGGATGCCCCATCCCTGCAGGCATTCAAGGCCAGGCTGGATGTGGCTCTGGGCAGCCTGGGCTGCTGGTTGGCGACCTGCACACAGCAGGGGGTTGGAGCTGGATGAGCGCTGTGCTCCTTTGCAACCCAGGCCATTCTGTAATTCTATGGGGATCCACTGCTCTGGACAAGATGCATGAGCACTCAGCGACACGCAGAAGCATTCATTCCATTTGGCAATGTGAAGCAATACACAACTGGAATTCAAGGTTGGCACATATTATGTTTATGCCGATGAGACATTAGCATGAGCTCATGTACCAAATACTGTGAGCAGCAAGAAAAACACAAAATAATTGTTGCACTTGTGTCAGAAAGATGTTGCTGTTTGCTGTAATAGCAGCAAACAACGAAACACTTGACTCCAGCTGGCACCCTTGCCATTAAAAAGGATTTATTCTTGCAATGTCCAAATCTTGTGGCTGCTGAGGACACCTTGAGAACAGCTTCTCATCCGCTGCTCGCACTCCCTCGCAGCGCGACGCTGCAGCCTCCCCTCCCCGCCTCCTTACGGAAGCTGTAAGCCCGTGCCCGTACTCAAGATGGCTGCCAGCCTCCAATGACTCAGACGGGCTTTGAAGTCACGGGGCTGCTGATTAAGATGGCGGTTTTTTACGGGCCGCGGAGCTCGCCCTCGACCGGGAGGAGGTTTCTTTCCCGTATTGCTTCCGACGGCAGTGAAGCTGGCGTGCCCTCAGTCAAGATGGCGGCCCCCTGCGAGCGGAGGAGCGCCGCGACTCGGCTGGCGCGGTGAGGGCTGAGGGCGGCGGGGTCTCAGCTGGGACCGGCGAGGAGGGATTCCTCCTGCCGCCAGGTCTGAAGAGGGCTGGATCTTCTCAGTCCTGCAGCCGGCGGTTTAAGGAAATGTAACATGCGGTAGCGAGCGAGCTGTCTCGTTGGATATTTTGGAACCCGGTAATTTCTCAAGCCGAAGTGCTGCTGTACAGCTGTGACTGCTTGGTTTTCACCACGCTTTGGGCGTTGGAAGGGATAAGCCGGTAAAGCAGTCAGTTCGCATTAGCGATCTGCGGTTCTTAGAGCAGCTGTTTCACTGCTTTAATACGTTCCCAAAGACTCTGTGTAAGGGTACCAGAAATTCTGAAAGCTTTGCTGAAGGTAAAAATTGGATACGGTGAGCCCCAAAGTGTCATTTCCTCACACTCTCTCTATTTTAACACATAATGGCAAGAAACATCATTTTGTGGACTGTAAAAACTTCCACCAATTAGTTGTGAGTGGTTTTCTCAGTGCAAAAGATGAAGTAATTGCATTATTTATTCCTCTCTTTACATCAGAACTAACTAATTATATATATTTAAAAAATTATACAAAAAATAAAGCAGTGTTTTTTTAGTCAAGATTTATAAGGCTATGTTAAGCACTTGGCAAAGTGGGAAACTGAAAATCAAAGGTGGAAGTCATCATCAGTTATCAAGGTCAGAATATTGCTGGCAATTAGATACGCATATAATTTAATGCACTGCTCAGAAGCTGTTTGGGACTGTTTGTGGGCTGCTATCAAAATTTTATAGCTCTGGATTGTTTCTGTCTGCTCTTCATGTAACTAGCAACATTTAGAAATGCTTATTTGGTGTGCGTCTGTTTGTTACTGATGTATCAGTTGTTACTGATGTACTGATGTAAGAAGTAAAGAAGGGAAGAAATTAGCCTTAAATTGTCCTTGTAAATCACACAGGGTGCTTTACCTGTGGTGATTTGTCTCCTTTGGCAGATGAGCTCCAGTGGTGAACAGCATCCAGTTTACACGTGGAAACAAACGTACAGGTTGAATAATCACCTCTTCAGAACTCGTGTTGCTTACTTTTGTTTCTAATCTGATGCTTAGCTGGGAGACTCCTGAGAGTTTCCCAGTATTTGCTTTACACCATCAACAAAAGTTAAGTGTTATCACTGCTGCTATGTCCTGGGTACAAGTCGTAGCCGGTCGATCCAGTGAGGACGTATTTGATGAAGATGCAGACGAGATGCATCCAGTACAGAAAGAATGGAACAGCACCATGGAAAAGAGATTGAAGGTATTTCTCTAAGCATGATTTTTAGAGTCTTTTTAAGGTTTTTAGATTTGCCGATAACATCTTGCTGTACATGTGGCTGGTTTAAATGGGAAAACTAAGAATGGCTGTACAAAAGTTATTGTGGCTTGGTTTCTTCTGAATGTTAAGAAAATTTAGCAGGGAGTTACTATCTTAGTAGCTTGTTAGGACAAATTAATGCTTTACCAAAAAAGATATTGATTCCCTCTACACAACCATGTGATTTCTAAAAGGCAGTGTTACATTCTCATGTAACCCATTTGCTTCATACTTGTAGGTTACTCAGAGCTAACAAAGAATACAGGGTATTTGTTGGTGGGTTGGTTTGTTGTTGTTTTTAATATTTGGTGTGAACTACTAAGGGTCTGAGTAGATCTTTGGCTTATTTATTCACTTAGTGGAAAATACATTTTGTGAAAGCAGAGAACAAAACAAATACATAAAGCTGGGTTTCTCAGACATGTTTTCATTCAGACTGGGCCCACTAGGGCTTATCTTGTGGGTGAACAACAGAAGGCTGAAGAACATAAATGGAAGCTTTTGTGCATGCTGTTGGTGAGGAAGTATATAACAACTTTCGTATTATTCTCCAAGGAAGAATTTCCTGCATCTCTGTCCCTTATAAAGGCTGGCTTTTTTAAGGGGCTGCTTATCATTCTTAAATTAATTTCCCTGGTATTTTGTGAGTAGATACTACAAAAATCATAAAATCTCTTGAAGACAGAGCTGTATGTTGGCAAAATAATGTTCTTGGCTATTTCTGTAGCAAGGCCACCACTTTTATTTTCTCATGATCAAATAGAAGTTTTCTGTTTTATAACTTCGAGTTGAGAATTATTCTACTTTGGATGGTAAGGTGATTAGAGGATGAAGAAATAAATTTGAATTCTCCAAGGAAAGTTTTTTAAGGGAGTTGGGCATTGCAAAAAAGTAAGAGTGCTTTCCTGTAGACTTGTCTACAGCACTTTCCTTATTTTCTGACCTAGATGGAGATGTGTTTAGAAAATAACTCCATGTTAACAGATCAGCAGCATTAACAGTAAATGATTCTGTGCACTGCAAAAAATGTGTTTTGGTTTGGCAGTGGCGTAGCTGAGTGGGATGTTCAAATCAAAAAAAGCTGTGATTTAAGAGACTGGGTGCTTGTTTGGGGTTTTTTACTGTTGTGAAATGTTCATTGGTTCAATTCTGCACAATGTGAAAAGCCTACTTCACCACTTCTGTTATAGGAGGGCTATAGAGATGGTGTTGAGGCTGGGAAAGAACTTGCACTCCAAGAAGGCTTCAATCAAGGTTATAGACAAGGTGCTGAGCTGATGGCTACATGTGGCCAATTCAGAGGGACCCTGAAGTAAGTTATAAATCTCTTAGGAGTCTGTCTATGTGGAAGGTATGTGTGGAGGGTGCGTGTTCATATGTGGTTGTGGTTTTTTGTTCGTTTGTTTTTTAATGTTAAAAAGTGCTTTGTAAGTCAATCCAAAGCAAGCAGCATGAGAAGTCAGAGCTCAGCTTTTGAATACAGGGAATACAAATGCAGGAAGGTGTATATCCTCAGTGTACAGGCAGGCTGGTAATAACAGGTGAGGAGAAGGTTGAGGTATTCAACAACTTCCTTGCCTCAGTCTTCACTGTCAGCTGCTCTTCACACACCCTTTGAGTGGATGGATTGGAAGGTGGGGACTGGAGGGAGGGAGATTGCTCCACTGTTAGCAAAGATCAAGTTTGCAACCACTTGAGGAATCTGAACATCCAAAAAGTGCACGGGTTCCCATTGAGATGCATTCCAGAGTCCTGAGGGAATTGGCTGATGTGGTTGACAAGCCACTCTTAATGATAATGAGGGGGTTACTGGAGGATGTCAAGCTGTACTTGAACCAGCAGTGTGTCCTCACAGCCCAGAAAGCCAACTGTATCCTGGGCTGCCTCAAAATAAGCATTGCGAGCAGGTTGAGAGTTTCGTTGTCTTACACTTGGCCTCAGCTCGTTGATTCAACTTGTCCAGGTCCTTCTGTAGGACCTTCCTACCCTCAGGCAGATGAATGCTTCCCCTCAAGGAAATTCATTTCATCTACACAATTTTCCCAAGAAATGGAAATGAAGCGTTCAGAAGTTTTTGTATAGTGCAGATTTCTTGTCACATTGCTCTCTCCCTTCAACAGCTGGAAATGTGTCTGACTACATGCACTGACTTTATTTTCTTCTTCACTTTTCAGTGCTCTCTTATCCTGGTGTCATCTTAACGGACATGATTCTGCTTTAAGAAAGATAAATAACCTTCTAGAGGTTGTTGGAAAGCATGAAGAAGACTTACTTAACTCTCTGACTTCTATTCAACTACAACCAAACATTGGAGACATTTTAGATTCTGTTCAGGACATGGACCTTACTCATACAGCTCCAGCTGGAACAGAGTGCAGTGAAGTTAATGCTGAAAAATATGAACATGTTGGCGGATGTGGTGAAAACTGTTGTAGAAATAATGGTGAGGATGGTTCCTTGTGGTCTGACTGCAGCAGGGAGAAACTCTTTACAGATCCTGCCAAGTCAACTCTTGCTTGGGTTAAAAAGCAAACTGTTGGGTTGGTAGAACAACTGGGTTTATCACTGGATGTACTCCATCACATCCAGCAACTGGAACGTTAGTTCTTCTGCCTCATGCTATTTCAAGTTATCTCAGCTGGATTGGATTTGCACTCTGTGGGTCCAGGCTTCGCTTTAGGGAAGTTCGATCTGATACTTCCAAGCAGAGGTTGTAAGTGTTACCATGCTTTGTCTCTTGGCCCAAAAACAGCTGGTTGCAGTCAGAAATGTATCTTCCACAGAAAAGGGAGCTGATGTTTAAAGCTCTGCAGTGATTTACTATCATGTCTCTCATCTACGTCAAAATCTGTCCTTTCACCTCATTTTATCTATTGGTATCTGAAAACAGATCAGGACCTCAAGCAACATCTTCTACTATGCAAATAAAACAAACAAACAAACAAACAAACAAACAACTGACCAGTGCTGGGGACTAGCTAGTCTTGCAAAATGGTCTGCTGTTGATTACATGCTAACCAAACAAAACAGGCTCTGCTAATTTCCAGTGTGCCAGGAGTTTCCTTTGTTACTATATTAAGAAAAAAAAAAGTTCATCTTTTGCCAGATTTCTTCTCTCACCTTATATAATCACTGTGCAGTGCACTTTCACAGTGTTTTTTTTTCCCCCTCTTCTTACAGTTCTATTTATTTTGCTTTTGCTGAAAGCACGCCACTCTTTTCAAACGTCAAACTTGCATTGCTGTTCTAACAGAAAACTGACTACTCTTACCCTTTCAAACCACATCACACATTTCTAGTCTAATGAATGCCCTTGTGTTAGTTTTGTATTTATTTGCTAGTCCCTTAATCTTGAACTCTCTCTTGTTTACAGTTTATTTCTCCAGCTCTAGAAGGAAGCCAGGTTTATTCACCATCTCTTGAAAACATGGTTAGCCAAACACGTATCTAACAACTTAGAATTTCTGTTCCAACATTCTGTATTTGATTTCTTTTCCTTTTATTTGCTGTAAGGATAGGAGGCAGCAGATAGAGTTGCTTTAAACCAGTTTTGGATCACCCAAAAAAGGTAGCAGTAATAAAAAAGGAACCCCTTACCTTTTTCTGAGGATCAGGGCTCACCAAGCATCCCAAAGGGTGATGTCCAGGTAGTGATGCTTCCCTTGGGGCTGCCAGCCCTTAAAGAAAGTTAGGTAGGGCTGGACCCTTATGATCAACCCCTTCCAGTCACTCCGATGAATTGCTTCCAGCTGTGCTCCCAGGGCTTGCTACACCCCTTCACCATGACCTAATGGTTCCTATAGAAATGCCGAAACTGTAGCTGCAAATTCCTATGGTTAGATATTCACAAAGAACAGATTTCCTCTCTCTGTTTTATAGTAATTAATCACTAAGTCAAGAGTTTGTGTACTTTATTTTGCTTTTAAATTTCTTCTACAAAGTAGGTCTACACAGAGAAAACTTAAGTTTTGAACAACTGACTTAATTAGAACAACAACAACGGCATAGAGTGGTTCTACACTTTGAAGCCACAACCAAGAAGCAAGAATTAAGAACCGATTGTTTGGAAAAAATAATGTAAATTTTTTAATAAAAGCTATTATCCTGCCATGGAGTTGTTATGCTTTAAGTTTGGTTGCAATTCAGTATCACTTTCTGCATTAGATGAACAACAACAACAACAAAAATTAACTATGCAATTAAAAATCTCATACTGAAGTTGTTACTGAAATAGTGGAATTGAAGAAGGCTATTTGCACATGTTATACATGACAGAATTGCTCAAACAGCTTTTTCTCAATTTATTTAACACAATACTGACACTGATAAATACTTTGGAGTGCATTCGTTATGTTATAACCTGCATCGCATAAATCAAACGGAATTTTTTTTTCTATCCTGTAGTAGAATGTGATGAAACAAAACCAATGGTTACCAAGGAAAAAGTGCAAGTTGAAGATATTATTTGGATGCAGGTAGTAGTGCATAAACAGGAAACTCCATTCAGAAATTAAGTAGACAGCAGGCTTGCCAAGTTCTCTCCATCTACTACTGCAAAAGCAAGTTGTGTTTGGGAACATATTGCTCTCTTGCTTGATTATTGAACAATAGATTTTGTGATGCATTTCACTTATCTTTCCTTGCAGCTTCTGTGCTAGCTGTGGAATCACTTCCTCCCACTCCGGACAAAGTTTCTGTGCTGACTGTAGTGTTACTTTTTTCCATCTCATCACCCAGAGTTTCCAGTTTGGCTGTAGAGAGTGTTTGTTCTGGGCTGTCTGGAACACTTTCCATATTTGTCTTAACCAGATCTTCCTGTCCAGCTACAGAAGGTCTTTCTTCAAGACTATTAGAATCAGTAATTTGCTCACGCTGCAGTTCAGGTTTTTGTTTTGTGTCTACTTCTGTGCCATGTGTTTCACTATCAGCTCCCACCTTGGCAGCATTCCTGAAAATAGCTCTCATGACAACTGGGACTGACATGCAGCTAAAGGAGGAAATGAAACATTAATCACTACTACAGACTTCATCCATTCTTCAAATCAGTACTTCTTTTTTTAAGCTGTGGCTGACACGTAAACCATATGCTTTGTGAAAGAAGCTGCTTTTGGCACTGTGCAGCCTGATAGGCATTGCACTGTAACTGCAATATACCTGCATATGCCATACTGGAAACCTGTGCTGACGCAACAAATTCAAGAGATTCATCTTTCATGTTTACCAGTGCAAAGAGTTTTTGATTTAAAAAAACAAATAAATAAATAAAAGTGGGAGGTCAAAAAAAGGGGTTTTAAACGAAAACCTGAAGTAATGATATTGAAATATATTCATATTCAGTGAGGTTTTTTTTAATTGTAGCTTTTTGTGTTTTGTATGAGATGGCTACAGAGCCTTTCTGCTCTAAATCAGCATCTCTACTAACAGGTCTTTGTGTTTTTTTTCCCCATTCTATCAGTGGAGGCATGCAGTTCCAAGAACAGTATCTAGTGTCTTATGACAAGGCAGACTAACTACACAAATCCAAAATGCAGGCTGCATTGATCTTGCTGTCATTAAATGTTTCATAGTTGTGTGCTAACCAATGCAAAACGAATGAGTGCTCTTAGCCCTTTGTGTTGCATGTGTTCATACACCACATCAACTGGACTTTCCTGGAATTTTAACTTCAGGAAGCAAGCCAGAGACAGTGCTGTAGCCTTATCTTTTGAAAAAAGAAGCACTGTTTGATACTAGGTAGATGTTATTCTGTCCATTACACCATGCACAAATTTTCTACTAGAAAGAAACACTTTTCATCATTGCTTTTTTAAAATTTGTGTAAGAAAGACTTAAAAAAACTAAAGTAACTCATTCTCACTCTTAAAACTCATTCTTACAGGGAATTTTTCTGATCAGCTGAGTTTAAGGTATTGTTAATGCACGTGATATTTGCATGGACTTGGTTATATGTCCATTAAAGGGACGTCTAACCTTTACTCTAAGTAGTAAGAAATAAAACTTTACCACTTCACAGATCTCGATATAAAGCCATCACTAGAATTTAGAGTTGGATCTTCGGGATGTAAATGAAGGCTGCATTGGACTTCTCTGGAGGTTACAACATCAATAGTCACTAAGCAAGAACAGCACATGAGTATTTCAAAATATACATACATACTTTTTTAACTAAAAACGATCTTATCTGATTTGGAAACATCAAGAGAGTCAATTCTGAAACTGGTAGGTAGGGGGCCTGCAGCAATGCTCTTGCTTAAGACTTGTTTTTCCTTATACACTAATGATCAGTAATAAATGTCGAAGTTTATTAATTAACTGCAGGTCAAGACAGAATAAGGCAGAATAAGACAGAATTTGAATTTACTTTCCCTTTTATCCTGAATACAGAACACTTAAGACAGCTACAAACAAATGCTACTTCATATTTTCCAAGGGGTTGCACACCATCAAGGGCAGCCCACAGAGTTTGTAACTGAGAAGCACAGTGCAGGAGCTGTGATAAAAACGAGCTCCTAGTCAGCCAAATAAAAAGGATAATACAAATTATTCCACACCTACCACAGGCTAAATTCTCTCTCGTCGGATGAATGAAGAAGACAGAAAAGCTGGTGTTCTTGTGTGGTGTCACTTCAAAGTAAAGCAGTTCTGAATCATCTGGAAATAGAATTACTATTTAGTGGTATTTCCTCATTAAGTCTGGACTCTCGGCAGAATTACCTGTCAGAATTTTACAAATACTGGTGCAACAGAATGGAATTACTCATTACATTAGCAACATATTTTATCCTTCCAGGAGATTTAAAAATATATATGTATATTTTTAATATTCAGTGTACATTATTAGAATTAAGGACTTTTGATCATTTAAAATGCTCTGCAAGAAATGACAGCTTTAGCAAGGGAGTAGTAAATCTGTTGACAACCAGTTTAGAAGTTAGTTCCTCTCGTATTCTGTCATTACTTCCAACTTACCTTCACTTAGACACTTGTCAGAGACACAGCTGCTAATAAGACTGTTATATGCCACCTGATGTCGAAGAATCTCTATCACAGCAGGCACACACTTGGGGTGGGTAAATGGGATTTTACTCAGCAAGGCTCCTGCTAAATTTGATTTTTCGGGGCCCTTGTTTATGAAATAACAGTGCTTTGGGCAATCTGGAAGAGACTGAACAACAAATACGGCGACATTTGAAACACTGAAAATAAGGAAACAAAGAAATTAATGCCCAGCACTGCCAAGCAATTGCATGATCTGACAGCAAAGGTACTTTTGGAAGGCACGCTTATAGCAAGTTCATCATGTGTCTCTGCATTTCAACACAAGTATAATCTATAGACAGAAGCTAAATGAGATCATTTTGCAAAAGTATATTAGTGCAAAATATCCAAAGCTACATGTCAGGTACTCAGGAGTTCAAGTCCAATTCTTCATAGCAGCCCTAGAGACCATAGAAATGTTTAACAACCAAAATCTTTGCTCCCAGGAGCAAAGCAGTGCTGGCAGTGATTTTAGGATCAATTAGAAGTGGAATATTATGTTGCCTACTTCAGGATACCAACTGGGGAGCTGTCACTTTAAGAACAGGGCTGGTCTGTTAATTAGCAAGGTCTAAATTAAGAAGAGCTGGATAAGAAAATAGAAGAGCTTTTCTGTGCATGTCTGTGTAACAGAAGGATTTCCATTACATTTTTTTTTTCAGGGTTAGAACTCTATTTCTAGAAATGGATCAGTAAATAAAGTCTTAAAACTCAGAAGCAAAACAATCATCAGGTATTTTAGAGAACTGCTGAATAGTTAGGACCTGTCATGTGTCCTTAATGGAAATGAAAACTTCCTATCTTCTGGATCTTGTACATGAGAACTTCACTACTTGATTCTAATGTGATGTAAGTTCACTACTACTATCTTCTGTAGCAAAGTCACAAGTAACCCAAAGTCCAAGAACATAGGCAGTAAGCTTGGTGATAATAGAAGGGAAAGAAGTATTCTCTTGTTGCCATGAATTGCAAAAAACAGTGCTTCCAAGCAAGGAGATCTTTGAAGCTTGTCTTGTAGTTACCACATACACACATTTTGAGACACAGCATCTCAGCCACCGTTTTCTATTCTGAAACAGCCTAAAATGAAATATTTTTCTAGTAAGGTATCTTGAAAAGGAAGCCATCTGCAGTCAAATGGCCGTGGCTCTAAATAGTAACCGACATCACAGTGGTAATGCTTTACACTTCTCTTCCTGCCAGTCCCTCTAAAAGGAATCCGTATTTTCAGTGTTATTCAATCAAGGAGCCTGTTTCTGTTACAGAGTTTTGCTGCATGTTTATCACTAAGTGCTGATCTGAGACGTGCTCCTCACAACAGACAGTAAGTTTCCTTCTTTTTAAAGCAGTAATGAGAAAGTTTTGAACAATAGTTTAAAGAGTAAGCATTTGCACAAAGACAAATTAGTATGACTTCAGCAGCCATGAATACAGTGCCTCATTAACACAGATGATGAGTTTGCTTACTTCAAAGAATCTGTTATTTCTTAAGCTATTTGAACTATTTCCTAAAGAGTACTGAAATCCTGCTGGGGCTCTGGGAAGCCCGTGTTGTTTACTACGGAGAAATATATTTCAGTATATTCACTGCACAAGGGCAACATCTGTCAAACACGCAGTATACTCACCACAATGAAACAGGAGTTGTGTGTAGACAAATCTTCTCTGCCTTTTTCTTTAAGGGCAGATTGAATAATCAGCTCATACAAAGGAGCTAGTTTCAAGGCAGTAATCTGAATTCCTGAAACCAGAAGATGTTTTTCATTAGCTTTTAGATTCATTAGATTAGATTGTACATGAAAGCTAGTTTTTACAAACTAAAGAAAACATAACATAAACACATTAGCCTTCCTTCTTTCCTTTTTTGCTGATGGCAATCAACAACTTCAAGATATTTTAGATAGTGTTTAACAACTTTGCCTTGGCTTTAAAAATTGATGTACAGGTTGATACAGTACAGAAGATTTTCTACCCCAGAATCCACTTTTAATTGTACTACATTACCACGAGTGGTCACAAATTACTTAGTCTTAAAAACAATCGTAACGTGCCTGTGAGCATCTGTATCTCTTCAATACTGGATAAGGACAGAGGAATAGGCTGATGAAACTTCAACAAAAAATAAGCTGACAAATCCATGCTGAGTTCATTGGTCAGTGGCAAAAAAGTAGGGTTGCTGGCGAGAAGAGACAAAAAATATTTTTATATATAAAACAAAGACTTCTAGAACAAGGCCATAATCACGTCTCTAGTGGTTTACTCTCACCTGTACTCTTCTTCTTCAAGCACAACTACAACCCCTGTGTGCTAAAATAAGTTTAACGTGAACACTGTCAGAAGGGAAAAATGAGCTGTGGGGGAAACTGAGGAACAGGGCACAAGAAGATTTGCTCTCAATAAGTCTGTAGTGACTTATTTTGGAGAATGACTTCAGGTTTTCCCTCCTGGCTCATACCGAAGTAACGAAGTATGGTGTCAGTGTCTATGGTGGGCTGACAAACTACTTTGCATGATTTAGGTATAAATACACCTTAATGCATGCATCATTTATTCTAGAAATGTATTGCTTGTTGAATAGTAGGATAGTAAGTAATATCCCAGTGGCTTCTTCTGGCTTCAAATCTGTGAATAAACCCATAACTCTGTGCAGTTGACAGCTAAATAGCGACATAATAATTTTAAAGTTCATTTGGGAAAACAGTAAAAGCCACAGATATGCAAGTTATAGCTTATAAGGGATAAAGACATCAACAGCACAGAGCTTCCTCAGCAAGCTGTGTATCCATTCTATTAGCAGAATCTAAATGCAAGTTATGCTGGGGTCCACGCCAGCAATTTGTAAATCCATTGCCACATTCAGAAGCACTCTGAACCTCACCCATCTTCTCCAGCTTGAGAGTCTACAACCAGTGGAGAAAGAGGAAGCTTGTGGAGCACATCTGTGCCTTCAACAGTTACAACTGCTTTTGTTCCACACACCAGAGAACCTGTGGGAGAAAGGAAACTGACTTCCCCCATTTTAGAGTAGATTAATCCTATGCACACAAAACACTCATCAGTAAGGAAAGCTGAGGTTCAACTGACAGCAGCCGGGCAGAAAGGAGAAACTCAGACAGCGCACACTGCATGGCCAGAGCTGCCCACTGGTGGTTTCAGCAGTAGCTGGGCTATGCCATGGAACAGCTCCAACAAAGTGGTGGGTTGAGTTGTTGTTTCATGCTGCCTAGGTATTTGTTCTGTTTGATACCACTCTCGCTTCAATTTGCATCAGTAGGCAAGAAATGGGAAAGCAGTTTGCTGATGAACATTGCAACTGTGCCGAGCAGCATCACATAAATCTTTCACTTAACAGGAAATGATAGCAAAACAAACATCCTAGGTTTTCCAGTAGGAAACTTTCAATGTAGGGTGGGGACACAATAACAATTCTGACTTATTTTTGAGTTTCATTAATGTCTTTTACTTAATTAAAAGGGTAATTATGAAAAAAATTGCCTCATTATGTAATTATTTCCAGTTTCCTAGCTTTACCAGGATTGAGCTCTGCTTCCAAAATTTGATATGGAGAAATGTAAAATTCGATGTTCATAGGAGTTCCTGGGAAATTAAAAACAACCAAGAAAACCATCAGTATACATGCCAATACAGAACATTTGTTAGGTATCTTGATGCAAAGGGGAAAAAAAAGTACAGGATGGGCCGAAAGGATACCTCTTAAGAGGTATCTCTAATTACAGCAGATGTCCAAATCACAGCGTCTTCTCAGTGTTTAACAGCTTAGTCCCCAATACACGAAGTCATCAGACATCTTTCAAAGGCTTTATCTTGCACAATAACCTTTTGTTGTGCCTTAAGAGATATTAGCTGAACTTCCAGCTTTTAGCTGGAACTAGTCTGAAGTATAAGAAGAATTCGTAATGCTGCTGTGCAACAGCATAATGTTAGCACTTACTAGAAGTACTTTTATGAACTGTGACTCACAATTGAAGCTCACTACTGATGAGGCATAAAAATTTACTGTATTTGCCTTTCATGCAACATCAGTATTATCTGGGCTGCTGCCATTGCCATCTCACAGTTACTCCCAAAATGTGGCTTCCCACATAACCTCAAAGTTTTGTGGCTTTGCTTTTAGGCAGCTGCAAAGGCAATGCTACAGTAGCTGAGAAGCCACCTGGCCTCCTTGTCTTTCCTCCTTGGCTGTGTGTCCCTACAGTATCAGAGAGCAGAGACCCAGTGAGTCCATAAAGCACATGCACTTAAAACAGAGGATCTTTTCTATTAAAAAAAAAAAAAAGAAATAAAAAAAAAATACAACAAGATCAGTGCAGTGGGGTGTTTCATTACAGTATTTTTGAACTATTGAAGGAAATAATAATAATCACCTCCAGTTCTTGGCACCAGGTGTCCTACTTTTCCATGAAGTACTTCAGTAACTCTGTTTACATCCTGTGATCTAGTTCAAAACATCTTGATTAGTGTTTCCTAAGTTGCAGTGCTGCTGAGGTTGATGTAAAGGACAATTTGCACTCTTAATCAAACAGAGATAGTGCTTTCTTGGGAAGTGGATATGTTTCCATTTGTTACATCAGCTTCCAAAATACTTCATTCCACTCATGCATTACTTAGGCTTCCAGCTTTAGCCCTGTACCTCAGCTTTTTCAGGTTGAAATTTGTTGTGTTGTTTACCAGAATGGAAGGGAACAAAAATACAGGCATGACTGGTTGAGCAAAGAGTGGCAAAATAACCTGGATAAACTGAAACAAATGGAGCTGATCTCAAACCTCAGATATGATTGTAAATGTACAGTTATGTAGGTGTGCATTAAAGCTCTGCAGTGCATTGACTGATCTCATAAAAGGGACAAATAATCTATTTAACTGAAGTAATATTAGCAAGGATGTGATGTCAAGAAGGAAAGCATTGCCCTCAACTCTGCTTTTCTGAAAAGAATGAAAAAAAATCACTGTTGAATAACCAGAAGGTTTAGGGAAATCTGTTCACATCCATCTGTAAGCCTGCTCCTCAAAAGGAGAAATGAGAAAAGGAAGGATGGAGGGAAAGGTACTGCACCATTCTCCTCTCTAGAACTTGAAGAGAAAAATGAGATACCCAAAAAAGCAGGACTATCAAAGGCATATTCTACTGCTGCAAAAATAGATGGGATTAAAAAAAATGATTGACTAAAAAAATAAAATTATCAATGACTCTACAACATTCTGTCTTCTCGCAGCAGCTGTTTTCACACACACACACACACACACACACACATACCCAGGCTGAGTGGCTAACCAGTTTCACTGCAAGCCTCTGAGATAAAGCTCAGGAGTTCAGCAGCTGATCTTGTTTGGTGTCCCTGAGGCTGGCAAACCACAAGAAGTCTTCCAGCTTTCCAGTGAGAGAAAACTCATTAGTTTTCCACATCCTGCTCTATAATTAGATCAGCTGCCTTGTTTTGTTTTTTTTTTTTTAGCAAAATGCAGGGCTGGAGGTAGAAGTAAAGGGAAAGGAAGGAAGGAGTAGACTTCAAGTTACCTGTGTAGAAGAGACATTGAATAAAGATCTTTTTCAAGGGATTGCAATGCAAGGTAACCCTTAGCTTTCATTTCACTGGGAGAGAGAGAAGATGCATTACTGTGCTTGTAAGTACACGGAAGCTAAATTATGGATTTTAAGTCTTTCAAGTAACAATTAGTTGCAACCTGTTTCCTGGAATTTGATACAGATTTGACAGGTCTTCTAGAATCTTTCCAAATGCGTCATAGTTCTTCATCCTAACAATAAAAAGCAGTTAGTACCACGCCACTTAATGAGATGGATAGTAAGTTTTTTATACCTAACTTGTTAGAAAAGGCATCATTTGAAAGAATGACACAGTCTCCCTTCTTATCAGATCTGGCATGTAACAGTACTGCTTTTGAGTTTTCTTAGAAGATACCAGGAAATGTAAATCCTTGGCTCTGCTGCAGAAAGCAATGTAATTATAGTTGACACTATTTAAATATGCATTACTGAAAGCAATAAATGTGCACGATACACAAATCTGACAACTCAAGATGTAGCTCATCAGCTGCAAGCAGTCTCCCTGATGTCCCAATGAATCTAGTCATCTAGTAACACTTCCCCAACACCGTGCACTCATACAATGTTCTTTTCATCAAAGTATCAAGGACTGTATTAACAGTGCACTTCACAGCACCCTGCTGAACTCTCCATGCTGCAGTCACACTGATGGCCATGCTCAAGGCTTACCTCCACTCTCTGCGTGCAGGTAGGGCTGCAGTGCGTGGCCACAGACAGACCAAGTAAAACCTGCTGGACTTTCACAATGGGACAAATCTTCCCACAGAGAAATGTAAGTGGGTTGCTCTACTTCATTTATGACTTTCCAACTGGACTGTTTGGGAAGGGGGGGAAAGAGAGGGGAAGCAGGCATGCACGTACGGGCACACACATGGTGCCAACCTGTGCCTTAGGACTAACTGAAATATTGCACTAGGCACTGCAGAAGTGATATTTGCACTATATGTCATATCCTCACAAAAACAAGAATGCTGCCAAGTAGTTACCACTGGCACTGAGTGCTATCTACCATCACTCAGAACAGAACTGCTGGCAGTTAACACCTCTAGGAGTCAAAAACCTACGAAAATGCAAGTTAAAGCTCCAAGACAGCTGTTTACACCTACAAAAACAAACGTAACTTCATTTATGAGGGAAAAGGACTAGAAAAAAAAATGATGAGTAAGGTGCAGGCCTGATTTTTTTTTTTTTTTTTCCTGAAGCCAACAAAAATACCAGTATTGAACAGCTCCATTCAGCTGGCAGCTAGAGCCCACGTAGCGCTGTACAACGTTGCCCTCTACCACCCACAGGAACAGATGCAATTTAGCTGTTTTCAATGAAGTGACTTGTGAAAAACAGTAAAGTTCAGAGCATCTTTTTAAAATTCTATGTTATCCTTGAAGTTACAGATTGTGATCTGGAAATAACAGTGTCAACCTTCAAATGCAGAGCACTGAAACCAGCCTCCCACATAAAATCCCATAAAAGCCGTCAGTCTGTTGTTTTCCCAACTCCAATTACTGTTTCCAGATTCTTGCATTGTTTCGTTGCACAAATATTTGTGTTACTACACCCAAACCATCCTAGCCTTGACTTCTCCACAGCATTCAGGGAAACAAGACTCAGGAATTCCTTTCTATTCAAATGAGACTCCACACACAGTTCTTTACCTTAGGTGCTGCACCAAGTCATCACAGATCTACAACAGGAGAGAACAGTTTCATGTTTCTGATCATCATTCGTGAAACATCTCAGAGAAACACACTGATAACGATAAGCTTATTCCTTACTGCTTTAAATTATAAATTATTAAAAATATTAAGTTAACATCATTATATTGTTTTATTATCGTAACTACGAGAGCTCTGTGGAAGAGGATATAATTAGCTGAAATCACTTGTTGGTTTCAGGGAAGGAAAAAAAAAAAAAAAAGCACCTTTGCCAGTTTTTTCCTTTAATAGGCAGTTACTGTGCTAAAATTCCTGGCTATGCATTTCCCTAGTAATACTGCCCAGCATCAAGTGATTTTTATCAGTAAGCATTTGTGCTTTACATTAATTTGCAGTTAGTTTGGTCCCTTTTTTTCCAGGAATTTCAAGTTATTCTGTTTAACTAGCACAGGGCTATTGATCATAGTTTATGCTTCCACCCACAGACAATTAGTCTGCAGCAGGTAGTTGTTTCAACTGTGATCCAAATGCTCACTTGTAACACCAAACAACTGCACAAGATGCTATGTGAACTGCAGTGGTATTTTGCCAATACCTTAAATATTTTGCAGGAAAAAAAAAAAAGATCCTTATTAGCAGGAATGCATATACTTAAAAAGAAGGAAGAAGGAAAAACGATCTCTGGTAACAGCTCCAAGACATTCAAAGACATCTGCACTGGTAAGGTATATTGCACTACATCTTGGGTTGAAGGCTATTTTATAACCCTATATTTATGCAGGGTACCAGAAACTTCTTGGAAATCGGGCACGTCAACCGAGTTTCACCTTGATATTTGAGCCACAGTAATTAACATCTGCGCTGAGCTGTAAGTTTAGGTGAGAGATTCAGATGCTTAATGGGGCACCCAGTGTCATGCAGAGACTGCCAGGTGTGACAAAAGCTTTCTGACATCATAGCTGAAAGCCAGGTGAGAGACTACAGGGAGGTGACAGCCAGAAAATTAACTTTACCACAGGAGCCTCTCCAAGGTGAGCCAGCTTTACATCCATCACCCTTCCATCCTTCTCCAGCTGTACTTCTATATAAAACATGTCTGAGGTTATGTAGCAGGCAGTCCCACTGGGGCTAACATGAGAGTTAAGCCTAAGGAAAGGGGAAAAAAAAATTCTGTATCTGAATGTCACTTGAAAAAAGGAAATGAGTGTAGTTTATTTGGTCGTGGGAAGAGACACCAAGGATGCTTTAAAAATAACTTCTCCTTGGCTCAGCTTATAAAAAATATCCAACCAGGCAATATAACCTTTCTCTGTTTCTTTATGCTGTTGTGTCAGCTTGCTGGAAACTGTTTATCTCAGTTTGCAGCTTTGGGACCTAGATATGAATTCCTTCTCTTCACTCAACCTCCCCCATAACTGCCACTTCCAATTAGCCTGTTAAGTCCACTCCAAGTGATGCATCTCAGAAAAACACCATGCTAAAAATGTAGTTGATAAGCCATCCAGATGGTATTCCTCACTGGACACGGGGCCCTGCTTGCTCATTTGCATTTTTTAATAAACAAACTTACCCTTTCTGTTTGGCTAAAGATTCCAATCTGTTCATCACAGAAAACAAAGATTTATCTGTAATAAGGGAAATGTTATTTAATTAAGTTGCAATGATTAAAAAGGAGAAACATTATTATCCTGCTCTAAACGGGGTGATTTAGGTAATAAAAAAAATGATATCTCTTGCATGACTTCTTGTTATTAATGGTAACTGTGATTAATGAGTGTTGTGCTGAGTAGAGCTGCTTCTCAGGCTTCAAGAGTAGCTGTAGCCTGAAGGCTTAGCCCAAAGATGAGTCACAAGTATTGTAACACATCCACCTCTGTGTTTGCACGTTTGGCTTCGTCGTGCAGAATATTGCCAGCAGAGACAATCATACAGTTGTCTGAACTGGGAAGGAATGCTAAAAAAAAATAGACTTTGAGATAACTGACAGCTTGTTACCATTCAGAGTCCTCTGCAACTTCTCCATGCATGAGAGCAGCGGAGCATCTGGAGCATTACTGGCAGGAGATGGACGTGGCTTATCCTAGCACATGGGGGAAAACGAGAGACAAAGACCCTTACATAGCAGCCACAGGAGCACATCACTGCCTGCAAGTTGCAGCACTCTGACGCGCAGTCCAACGACACAGTACTTCTCTTTATCAAGCACAGAGGTGAGCTATGATTGTGGCTCTCTCCAAAGGGGCAGTCCAGAGTGGATTCATGAAAACTCCACTGTGCAGTAATCACACACTGGAGGCCTTTGGCACAGAAAACCACTTTCCATTCCCTTTGCTTTTAGGCTGAGTTAAAGACTGTGGCTCCTAACATAAGCTGTTTTCATAGGTTAATGTTTTAGAAGGAATGAGTGAAAGTGAGAGCTCAGTAGGCACTATGGGGTGACTTGGTTAGAGTCAGGGTGTAAGCTGTAGCTGAACTGGCAAGTAAACTCCCCATATTCTTCTCTGAAAACTCCGTCACACTTCAAGTAACAAAGAACAGCCAGTGCTGAAACGCTTTCAGCATTGTCAAAGTCAGGACATCACTTTCAGAGGAACGCTTAAGCATTAATAAAGCATTTTAAGCATTAAAAATGAAGAAGCATGGAAACAAGTTTTTACATTACGCTGATAGCACTTGCAGTAAGCTGCCGTTTACAGAGATGATTCTTATATATCACGAGCCACTGGAAAGGCAAGAAGCATGTACTGATTTAAGGTATATCACAGCAGAAAGAATTCCAAATAGCAGCTTAAGCACATCAGGATAGTTTTGCAAAAATAGCATTTTTTCCCAATTCTATAAATAAGAAGTTGTCTTTACACACTACAAATACACCAATGATAACGAATGGAAATTCATTATCAAAGTATCAGACTATGAGTACTAACTCCAGAAAATTAAAGTAATGCAAAAAACAACTACTAGGGTATCAAATCTGTGCTTTTTATTACTGTTAAGTCAGAAGCCAGGCTTTAATAGGCGCTTAAAATTTTTGTTGCTGTTGTTTTTGTAAGATAAGCAGTTATTGAGTTGTCTTGGCAACTTGCTCTAATGCGAGTTATCCTTCTCTCACCTAATCTGAGGTCCTTACCATGCAAAAATGGACAAGTTTCAGAGTTTCAGTCCATGGTCTTTGTTGATATTTTAGATACAGCTGTTCCATTAAAGCATTTGTAGAAATAACTGCCACAGCACCTAAAAAACACATTAAAATGTTCTAAATATAATTCTATGTATTTACATAAGCAACTAGAAAAGTTGGAGAAAGAAAATTATAAAATTTACTAAGGTCATAGGTGTTATGTTTTAAAAGAGGAGGAAAGAAAACAATGGTTTAATTCTCAACAAATTTTGCATACAGATATCTAAATTTTGCAAGATTTCTGACAGAAGAAAGGAAGTTGAGGGCATAGGCAAGTAATCTCCATACTAAATACAGAGATGCTGCAAGACCTTCAGCTTGTTAAACAGCTTGACTTTCTTTACCTAAGCATGCTCTCGTATGTGCAATATTGAGAAACACTACAGCCTTGAACGTGCCATGGGATTCAGGCATTGAGATTTCTGTACCCACCTGGAGTTCACTAAAACAAAACTTGCTGAGGGGGTAATCCCAAAATGCAGTGAGTTGCAATTTCCCCACTGACGGAGACCAGCTCAAGACGCCTGGAACAGTCTTCCTCACCACCTCCCCCCCCATTAGAATAGGAAGAAAAGAAAACGAGGCCAGGAGAAACAATGTTTTCAGCCTATCACTGGTCTCTTTATAAACATTCATCCAGAAATTAAAGACTCAAATGAAGTTCTTTGGTTGAGATTTGGTTCATCCACGACCACTCATTCCTCAGGAATTAACCAGGAGTGAACTTCCTAATAAACCAGCCTGAGACAAACACTGAGACTTCAGACTGATCAGTCAATGGCAATGAAAGCCCTGCAGCTTGTCCCACGCTGCACTGTACTCCTTAGTACCAGAAGCATAGCAAAGTGCTTCTGTGACAAAGAGGACACAGCTGCTACATTAGAACCATCCTCAGAAGTAGGCTGGATGGAGAGGACACTGCTGCACCTACTGCATACAGCAAGCAAGGGTGGTGAGTGGGGCCTGATAGTATCTTTCTCCTAGCAGAAGAGCAGAAATCCCAACTCACTAAAAAGAAGGCAATCTCATTCAGCTGGAGAAAGGAACAGAAACAGACCCCAAAAAGCTCTTGCAAACACCCTTACCAAGGGAAAATTCCCACTCACTCATGCCTTGAGGCCTGCAGAAGGAGAAAAGCAGCAGTGGCTGCTGCCCACCCTGCTCCTCCATCTCAACCCACAGGAAACCAGGGCTCCTACTTGAAGCAGCTGCACCAGAGCACCCACAGGTGCTGTGCAAGGCAGGTAGCTTGCTCCCTCACAGGGTGGGTCCCAGGAGCTGGCAGGCACTTTGTAAAGGCACTCACTTGACATTTGGTTACTGTTAAATGCTAGGTCTAGAGCAAGAAAAGCATGTCTCCTACATAAAACCCTGTATGGCTGTGTTTCAAATTGTCTTACAGCACGCCTTCTGTTTTCAGCTGCATCATCAGTTGCGCTGCAGTGCCTAACATAGCCTGATAATGAGATGGTCTGGGGCTTGTTTGTATGTACCTGAGTAAAAAGTAAATAGCCTGACGGCCTCTTTGAGATTACAGAAAAAATGGGCATGGAAATCTCAGGAGAGCTATAAAGTACATGTAAAAAAGCAGGTATTTGTCTTCAAACAGAAAGCTGTTCTGCAGGTCCTACTAGAAAAAGCCACTATGCCCGTGTTAAGAATCTAGTGCTTCATTCTTAGAGAAAAACATTACATTTTTAGAACTATTGCACACAGAATGTTTCTAACCAATGGAATCACAACCAAAATACTAGAACCATTGCTTCTACTTCCTTTCGAGAGGCAAAATAGAGATTCGCTCTGAGATTTCACCATTAAATGAATGAATGGATGACTAAAAGGACCTGACAACAGAGAAGATTTATTACTCAGACTTCTTTCCAGAATTATCTATGGCCTCTCAACTTACGAACTTGTAATTGGTGCTGCTGTCCCTGCTGTCTACAGAGGGTCCCATGCTAGGGTGCTGGTCCATGCCCTGCATGTGCCCGGTGAGCTGTAGGTGCAATTGGGGCAGTACGGGGCTGTCCTACTGGTGGCATCATGGCTGCTGTCAGCACAGCCATTGCAAGCGATGAGGTAAGGAAAGCCGAAGGAGCCTGCTGCTCAGGTGTCTGTGTGTGCCAGGGAAGCTCCTGCTGTGGGGGATCAGTTGTAAACCTGGGTCCCACGTGAGGTGGAGGAGCAGGAGTGGCTGCTCAGTGGCAGCAGGGTGGGGGCCAAAGGCTGGCAGGGCTGGAGCAGCACTGGTTTGGGTGGTGGCTTTCTTCAAGCACTTGAATGGTGGGGCCTGTGGGTGCCGCTTTCTCTGTGCCTTCTTCCTTGGCATGTCACCAAGGCAGTCATGGTGTATCTTGCTGAATCCACAAGATTAAGCTGATGGATGAAGCTTTTCATAGAATCAGAATTACAAAGGGCATCCTCCAAGACCATCAACCTCCAAGATCATCCAGTCCAACCATCCATCTACCACCAATATTTACGCACTAAACCACATCCTTTAATACAACATCTAAATGTTTCTTGAACACCTCCCTGAGCAGCCCATTCCAGCACTTCACAACGCTTTCGGAGAAGAAATTTTTCCTAATGTCCAACCTGAATCTCCACTGGCACAACTCGAGGCCAGTCCCTCTAGTCCTGCCATTAGGAGACTCTAGTCCTGTCACAGGAGAAGCAGCCAACCTCCACCTCACCACAACCTCTTCTCAGGTAGTTGTAGAGAGCAATAAGGTCAGGCCCCAGTATCGACCCCTGGGGAACACCACCTGTGACCGGTTACCAGTTGGATTTAAGTCCATTCACCACTTTTCTCTGGGCCCAGCCTTCCAGCCAATTCTTTATCCAGCAAAGTACCTGTCTAAGCCACGGGCTGCCAGCTCCTCTAGGAGAATACTGTGGGAGACATGTTTTCAGATTGCAAATTCTCAAATATCCATTCCTTCCCAGTATTTCAAGCTTAAACATTTATTCATCGATGACAAAATAGTTTCCACCGTGACCCCACCAAATGATATTAAATTCGTCACTTTCAACCAGCCACAGAATTTCTGTGGAAAGCTGAGGACTGGGGAGATACGGCTATCTTAGTTTCAGCTGGGATGGATTTTCCTTCAGAGTGTGTGGTATGATGCTGCGTTTTTGGTTCTAGGAGAAAAACAATATTGGTAACACACCAATGTTTATAGTTGCTGCTAAGCAGTTCTGTACAGAGCCAAGGCCATTCTCAGCAAAAGGCCCAAGGAGCTGAGAGGGAACAGATTAGGACAGCTGATTTAAACTGGCCAAAAGGATATTCTATACCATATGTCATTGTGTGGAAGGAATTTTGAAGGAGGTAGGAGCTCCCTGGCTCTTCCATTGCTCGGGGGGCTAGCTGAGCATTGGTTTAGAGGTGCTTGTGCATCGCGTGTTATATACATGTATATATGTATAGTCATAACTCTTATCCTTTTCCTTTCCCGTATCTTAGTAAATAGTTTTCTCTCAATCCATGTATTCTACTCAGTTGTTTTTTTTTTCAATTCTCTCCCCTGACTGGAAAGAGGGGAGTGAACAAACAACTGTATGGTGCTGAAACACCTGCCAGGTTACACCACAGTACTGACTTTGCTCTCCTCAGAAGAAATGTGAGGTAAACTTTTGGTTTCCTCTTCATCAGAAAAAGTTAGTGAGTCCTCTTCTTTCAGTATCCATGATGCAGAAGCATCCCAGGCTGTTCCTTAATCCTGTACTGGAAGATCAGGAGAAGAGCCTGAGGACTCAACCAGCTCCTCTGGATCAGAAACAGAAAATGTTTCTGGTTCAGGTGGCTCAGTTTTAATTATTCGTGTCTCAATTTCACTTTAATTTTCAGGTGCAGGTATTTCTGTCATGAGCCAATTTTTGCCCTGCCAATCGGCAGGTGAAATCCAAGAGCTGTCTGAGTGTTCCACGGAGAGATGCTCAAATGTCACCACGAGACCCACATGTCATCACAGTGACATCTCTGTGTGGCTCCCAAGGCCTGGCTGCCTGCAGCAACCAGAGCAGATGTCACTGACCAGCACTTGTTGCTGGTCCTGCACAGAGCCGTGAGTGTTTGAACTATAGTAAGGAAGTGAATTTTATTTAAAGGGGATCAGTCCCCACCTAGGGGTTGCTCTCTCTTCCCTGTGTGGTCCCCTTCTGGCCCTTCTGGTTTCCCAAGCAATGTTAACAAAAGAAAATAGCAATTTCCTCCCAGTTTCTCTCCATTGCATTCAGATTTCAATAGCAAGGCTTCTGCAAGGCAGTAGCTGTGTATCCAGGTGATGCTCTGCAACATCAGCAGTCTCCCAGAGGCTGCTCTGTAGGTCCAACTAGAAAAAGGCACAAAGTGTATTTTGCTGATGGCATAAACAGGAGATGCCTAATTCCTATTTGGTTCCTACAATTTTATTTCATATTTTAGAGATTTAGAAAGCAAGCTAACAAAATCAGTGATGTTCTTTAAGCCTTTTAAATCACACCCCTCTCTGCAGGATCAAGTGCTTAATCTGTCAAGGTAAGGGTTGGTCTGGAGATGGTGTCTGGATGCAGGATGCAAATGTTTGAGGACAACACTAAGCTGGAGGAGCTGTTCTCTCCCTCCAGGGCAGAGGGGCCTTGCAGAGAGATCTTGACAGATGTGAGGGCTGGGCAGCCACCAAGTGCATGAAACTGTACAAGAGCAAGTGCCAAATTCTGCACAAATTCTATAACTCTATATGTTGGCATTTCAGCCTTTACAAAGGAGGTGAAAGGTGATTAAGTAAATTGATGTAGTTGCACACTTGTGATAGATCTCACATCCCTAAATTTAGCTTGGCTTATGCTTTTACATATTCATCTGTTTTTAAAACTGTCATTAAAATCACTACAGGTGTAATCATGAGCTTTCACTGTGAGTTAAATGTGCATCCTTTTAAAAATACTTTCAGCAACTCAAGGGAAGCATTTTTGCTTATTTTTGCTTAAAAAAAACCAAACAAACAAGTATTGAAATGTTCTCTGCTAAGCAAGATCAGATATCATGGCCAATACAAAATAAGTAGGTTTCCTCAGTCCAGAACATGAGATCATGTGCACTGCCATACCACCGTATTTGGAGTATTTGGTATTTTGGGGGTTATTTTCATAATTTCATATTTTCATAATAATATGTTCATAATTGTTTTCAAACATAAAAGCCCAGGTCCAGAGTCTCTGTGAATGTGACAACGACTCCTGTGGTTTGATCATGTTCTGAATAAGGAGAAAAGTGAATTATTTGTTCTTGAAAAGACTGATCCCAAAGTAATGGAGGGGAGCAGAGTCATTCATGCTTTGTCTGCACAGCAGCTGTCCTGCAAACAAACAAGGACCTGAAGTGTAAGTAGTCATAGTCTGGCATGGTTGATAAGCCTAAGGTTCACTTTTAAAATATGCAATATTTTTCGCTGTGCTCAGCTGTATGTATTTAGATAAACAATCTGAAATAGTTTTGCCTCAGTAGGGATAGTGCCATTTTTTCATAACAAGACAAATATTCCAAGACAAGTAGAGCCCTTCACACCAACACAAAACTACAACATTGAGTAAGATCATATGTGAGAAACAACTAAAGCACTGTCAGAAAGCTCCTCAGACCAAGGTGTTCCAGTATTCAGAACTACCATATCGAATTTCCATGCTCCAGAGAAGAGTTAGACCTTAAATAATTAAGGATGTTCTAAGTATAGCATCTCAGGGCTATTAGATACAATAATCCTTAACTGGGTCAGTTAATGGATTAAAAAAAAGAGCAATTGGCTAAGCAGCCAATAGCAGATAAGAGGAACTATGGCATGAATCCTGCATGCCCACCTGCTCTAGATTACTATCAGCTCGTGCGTTCAGCAAAAACTGCTTCTAAGAGAAACTTTGATGTGCGCAGTTCCAAAATAATTTTCCCCAGATTAAGCTTCTGTCAGATAATGAGAGGTTATCTTATGCTCTTTGTACTAAGATTTATATGCTTCCTGAGAAACCTCCTGAGAATTCCATGATTATTGCCACTTTGTTTACTTTTTGTCATTTCTTTTCTGCATCTTGCTAAATTCCTGGCACAGCAATAAGCTTGACAGCACGCACCGTGGGAACATTGGGATTAGTGTGAAAACATTTTCAGTAATTTCATACTTCATTCATTTCTGATGCTGTTTCCATTTCAGTGACTGGTACTTTGTTCTGCTGAGAAAGGATCAATAGATTTTCAAGTCATATTCCTGTATTCCAGTTAATTGTTTCCAGGAAGATGCTCTAGGTTTTCTACAGAAAAGGGAAAATGTTGCAGATTGTTGATCCTTTTTAAGGTTAACAATTTGGAAGATATTCTATGAATACAATATTCAGAGCAACATGCATTTTGTGTTTTCACTTGTTTTTTTTTGCGGGGGGGGGGAGATAGGAGATAGGCACTTTCTCTATTAACCTTTCCTCCAGTGTTGACTTTGTGGTTTTTTTTCAGCTAAGGAGTTAAATAATAAAGAATAAAAAAATCACAGCAATATCTTGACTGGCCCACTTCCAGCAGTGTACTGGAATCACATATTTCCAGAAGCCCTCAGCTGAACTGTCCATCAGAGAAGAGAACAGCCCACAGCAAGCTGAAATACAGAACTGGGACACAGAGCTGTAAGTGGAAACCGGTGTTTCCAGTTAGAAGTGCAGGATGTGTGAGGTATCGCTGCGATCATCTGAACTGATGCTTGGTCAGATCAGAGGTAATACTGTGTTTTTTCACAAAGTGCCGTGGGATTTGACAGCAATAAGCAGTGACACGGTTACAAAACGAGCATGCAGCAGGAACATGAGTCAGTGTTTATCAAAAATCATGATGCATTCAGTTCTTTCACCTATCCTAACTGTTCTTCCATCCAACCTTAGCTAAATCCGATGCTGCTTAGCTTTTATGAAGCAACAAGTTCATAGCCTAGCCTGATATGGTCTGTAGTTTATAGCTATCATAATCCATAAATGCTACAGGATGTTTTTTCACCTTTCCTTAACTCTCTACATCATCTCCATAGTTACGGAGTGTAAATATTTTGTCCCTGACAGTAACATCAGAATACTTTATATTTTATTTCACTACAGCCATATAGACTGAGCCAGTTCAGATCACAGCTTACTGGATACATTTCTGGCACCGCAGACTGAGGCATGTAACGCTGACAAGCTTTGACTGCCTCCTCCTTTCACTGAAAATGATTAAGATCGTTTTGTGCTAGATGTATAGACAGATATCAAAAAATAGGTTCCTAGCAAATGGTCATGGATGTTGAAATGCACTGACTCTGAAAGTGCATATCTTTTCCTCAGAGCAGTCTTGCACTTGGTTTCTGATTGATGCTAGCACTGTACTCTCCAAGAGTTCACTGCCTGAGTCTTTTCCCAAAGGTACAAGGGACATGTGACTGTGACTTAAACTAACCTCATGAGCTCAACACAGGATGGCTGGCTTCACACACAAACATTTTCCACTTACAGCGTTATAAAAGACAGCGTAAGTGATATTCATAACTGGGCATTCTTTGCTCATCCCACAACTCCCGTCTTTCTATGATTTCTCATCATTTTTATAGCCAGAAGCAGAAATTGCACCATTATTCAAGTTCTTTGGTGGAGCTGAAATCGGTGGAACCATTTATTTATAAGCTGCTCCAGCACTCCTTCAAAATAAAGACAAAGTGCATGTGAAGGGCAAATAGCCCGTAGGTTATGGCAAAATCAGTAATACATTGGTATGTTGGAGATCCGCATTGAAAATGTTACTGCTATAAGGGGGGAGGAGGGAGAATGGGAGCTAAGAGCTGGTTGAGGAGCTGAAAATCATGAAAAGCATTGAGAAGGCAATTGAGGCAGAGAAGAGGTGAAATAGAGAAAGACAGAGCAACTACGCAAAGGAGAGTTTTCTATCAGTAGGTCTCAAAGGTCGGGAGACAAAGTTGATTATCTCGTTTTTCCAGACTGGGAAAAAAGGAGATGGGGGAGAGAAAGTGACAGCTGAAGTCTGGATCAGAAACTAAGCTGCTTAACTGGCTCCACTGTAACAAACCTCCAACTGAAGTAAGGAGGAAGCCCTCAAAGGAAAAAAGAAAGGGATGAAGAAAGAGGCTGCAGAAACACAAGGGGAAAGACTCTGAAAAAGCACATAAAAATTGTGAAGAAGTAGAACTACGAAGAATGGGAGCAAGAGAAGAGGAGGGGTATGGAAAGCAGAAAAGGCATTAAAGGAAAAAGATGTAAGAAATACTGATATAGACATCTCTAAGATTAGGAAAAAAAACCCAACAATATTTCTGTGTTATTTTTTATACACAAGTGCAAAATGACTTCTACTTCAAGCAATTCTGAACCAGTATTGGTCAGGAGGTGATTGTGTGGTCTAAGTGTTCTGAATGAATATATATCAGGAACTGGGCTATATAATATGCAGACTGAAAAAGAATCAGCACTCAGTGGAAAATACTGGTTTCAGTAAAATAGTGTACGTGGGAGAAACACATTTTTCAGGAAATACAATACCATAATGGAGCTCAGTCCCAGCTACGTACTGTGTATCATTCTGTTTGGATTAAGCATCCTCTCCTCTCCTATTTTGTAAAATCAAGCTAATTAAACTATAAATACACGTAGCAAACACCATAACTGTAGTCGAACAGGGCCGACAGGGGCCCCTTGGCCCCTGGGAAACCATGGCAACAAATGACTTGAAGATAAGAGAGAAGAACAGGATAGACCAAATAAGGAAGAAACAAGGCATTCCACATGTTCATTGGTCAGGTAGTAGCCCTAAGGCATGGCGAAAGTTTTAAGAAGGATGTGCTCCTTGCAATAAACGCCATTTTACCATCCACCACATTGGTGTGCACCTTGGGTAAATGGACAGACCGATGAGTCCCTAACGATTGCGAACACCTGTATGAGGTCTTTCGCAGGCGAAAGGCTTCATTTGGTGACCCCGACGTGATCGTTAGGGAATAGTGGTCGGCCACAGGCGGCGTGGCGTTCCTGCTCTCTTCCGTCTCCCTTGGGGAAGGAGGCGATGACCCTAGAAGGAGGGGGCTGCGGCTTAGGAGAGTGGAAGCTGGGTAGCGTCGGAGGGGGCTCTGCGCGCGAGCCTGTTTGACCTGCCGAGGACCCAGGTGACCATCGGGAGAAGAGCCCGGTGGTTGTGTGATCCGCGGGAGAGTGCCCGGTGGAGATCCGCGGGAGTACGCCCGGTGGAGGGACTATGGAGGCCGTCATAAAGGTGATTTCGTCCGCGTGTAAGACCTACTGCGGAAAAACTTCTCCTTCTAAGAAGGAAATAGGGGCAATGTTGTCCCTTTTACAAAAGGAGGGACTGCTTACATCTCCCTCAGATTTGTATTCCCCGGGGTCCTGGGATCCCATCACCGCAGCGCTTTCCCAGCGGGCGATGGTACTCGGGAAGTCAGGAGAATTGAAAACCTGGGGACTGGTTTTGGGGGCGCTGAAGGCGGCGCGAGAAGAACAGGTCACATCTGAACAGGCGAAGTTTTGGTTGGGTTTAGGGGGAGGGAAGGTCTCTCTCACAGATCCTACAGGAGAGCGCAATACCGAGCCACAGGTTCATGAGGAGAGAGAGAAAATGGCTGCGCGGCAAGAAACGAAGATGGCCCCGCCCAAAACCGTTGGTACATCCTGTTATCTTGGCGAAACAGATGCCGGATGCAGTCGCGCCACTGCTGCCCCCTCCGCCCCTCCTCCTTATGTGGGGAGTGGCCTGTATCCTTCTTTGGAGGGGTTGGGAGGGCCGGAGGGGGAGGGTGTAGCCACGTCACCGGCGGGGCGGGATGGTGCGCCCCGAGGGGTGGAACGAGGGGCGGAGCCAGGGCGCTCTGGCTCGGCCCTTGGACCAGCCTTGACTGATTGGGCGAGGATCAGGGAGGAGCTTGCAACGGCGGCTCCGTCCGTGGTGGCCATGCCCGTGGTGATAAAAACAGAGGGACCGGCTTGGACCCCTCTGGAGCCAAAATTGATTACGCGATTGGCTGACACGGTCAGGACCAAAGGTTTACGATCTCCAATCACCATGGCAGAGGTGGAAGCTCTTATGTCTTCCCCGCTGCTGCCGCATGACGTCACGAATCTTATGAGGGTCATATTAGGTCCCGCTCAATATGCTCTGTGGATGGATGCTTGGGGCGTCCAACTGCAGACGGTTGTAGCGGCGGCTACACGAGACCCTCGACATCCTGCGAATGGTCTGGGGCCGGGGTTACGCAGCGGTTAAGAATGGTGAGACGGATAAAATTATCTGGATTCCCTCCAGAAAGGTCAAACCGGACCTAAGTCGCGAAAGTAATGTGACTGGAAAAGATGAGGCGAGCTCTCCCTTTGCAGGCATTTCTAACTGGATACCCTGGGGAAACGAGCAAGAAAGACCTGAAGAAGAGGCCGTCGGAGACAAACAAGAAAGATCCGGGGAAGACACCCTTGCTGCCGACGAGAATTAATGGAATTACGGTGTTTGTCTGTTTATTAATCCTATGTGGGGTCACGGGGACGGGCGCTGACACACACTTCATGCCACAGCCAGGGAATTTGTGGGTTACTTGGGCAAATAAGACGGGCCAAAATGACTTTTGCCTTAGTTTACAATCGGCAACATCGCCTTTTCGCACCTGCCTAGTAGGTATCCCTCAATACACGTTAGAAGCCTTTGCGAGGTACACCACAAACCATTCCGCTTGCCGTAACGACATCGATCTAGCAAACCAAACGGCATGTTTGATAAAATCTCTGAATGTGTCTCTCCCATGGGATCCACAAGAATTAGATATCTTGGGGTCACAGAAGGTTCGGAATGGGTCGCATAATGGCACACGTACCTGTATTACCTTTGGGTCAGCGTGCTGGAAGGAAGGTGACTTTTTGACCTGCGACTTGTTTGACGGGGTATTCAACGGCTCTGAGGGATTGAAAGGACAACTGCAGGCCTTAATTGCCCGGTGGGTAGGCACAGATCCACGGCTGGAGCCATACAACGAGACCTCTTGGACTGTGGTCAGTCCTATGAACACGAAGGCTTTTTCCATTACTTCGGGTTATTGCGGGTATACCAAAAATGAAACACGGGTCTTCGTAAAGTACAATACGACCTGTTTGTCAAAGGGTGGGGTCCTTTCTGGCAATGAATCCCAATTTAATTGTACGGCAGTTTGGGACTTTTATGGGTATGGGTTCACTTTCAAAAAGGGGGCCAATGAGGCGCTATGGAATAACAAAACGGCTAAGGCATTACCCCCTGGAATCTTCTTGATCTGTGGGGATAGAGCCTGGCAGGGCATCCCGCACAATGCCTTAGGAGGACCCTGTTACCTAGGGGAACTGACGTTACTGTCTCCGAATTTCACGACATGGATGCAGTATGGCCCGAACATCACGGGTCACTATCGTCGCCGAAAGCGTTCGAGCCCTCTCCCGGAGAATTGTAACGACGAGATAGAGTTATGGAGTGCCACAGCACGGATATTCGCATCATTTTTCGCCCCTGGGGTTGCTGCAGCACAGAGCTTGGCTCAGATAGAACGCCTAGCATGTTGGTCAGATAAGCAGGCGAATTTAACAACATTAATATTGAATGCGATGCTAGAGGACACAAACAGCATTCGACATGCGGTGCTGCAAAACAGAGCAGCCATCGACTTCTTGCTCTTGGCACAGTGGCATGGATGTGAAGACCTAGAGGGAATGTGTTGCTTCAATCTTAGCGACCACAGTGTATCCATCCATAAAGCGCTGAAAGCCCTGCGAGACCATACGGGAAAGATCCGAGTGGAGGACGACCCCATCGGGGACTAGCTGAGAAGTGTGTTCGGAGACATAGGGGGATGGGGTGTGCATTTATTGAAGGGTTTACTTTTGGGGCTTGTAGTTATCTTGTTCTTGATAGTATGCGTGCCTTGCCTTTTACAAATCATGTTAAGTTGTATTCAAAGGATGATTGACCGCACAATCAACTATCGCGTAGAATATACGAAAATGCAAAAGGCATGTAGACAAGCAGAAGGCGCAGTAGCGTAAGGATAGGGTAAGAATATTTTGCGAATCGGGATGTAACGGGGCAAGGCTTAACTGAGAGGACAATGGCATGTATAGGCGCAATGCGGGGATTTCGGGTTGTACGCGGTTAGGGTCCTCTCAGAATGTAGTAGTTACGCTTATGCATAGGGAGGGGGAAATGTAGTCGAACAGGGCCGACAGGGGCCCCTTGGCCCCTGGGAAACCATGGCAACAAATGACTTGAAGATAAGAGAGAAGAACAGGATAGACCAAATAAGGAAGAAACAAGGCATTCCACATGTTCATTGGTCAGGTAGTAGCCCTAAGGCATGGCGAAAGTTTTAAGAAGGATGTGCTCCTTGCAATAAACGCCATTTTACCATCCACCACATTGGTGTGCACCTTGGGTAAATGGACAGACCGATGAGTCCCTAACGATTGCGAACACCTGTATGAGGTCTTTCGCAGGCGAAAGGCTTCAATAACATATTTTAGTGCGAATATGTAATTAGCAATTTGGTAATTCCTTAACTATGTTCCTAGTAATGTTTGTGTTTGTCCTCACATCCCATAAGCCATAGTGCTGCAACTGAATCTCAGATTTCCAGATTCCCAGTCACCAACTAAAGTTATGGCATTTCTCACTGCTCTGCTGAACAATGGCATGAATGACCAGAAACTCATTACTCTCACATTTGTTATTATTCAAGGCACTTCAAAGAATTTCTTCTCTAGGCACAAGGGTCAGAAAGCTGTGAGCGCCAAGTGCCATGACTAGCCTAGATGGAGAACTAAGAATAACATCATTTGGAAAGCAAAGTGAGTTAAGCAAAGGCAGGTATCTCATCAGCCAGCAGTTTATTACAGTAATTCCACTACCTTGTTTTTAGGTTGTATGTGCCTGCTTGCAAGCGTAGGGGGATACATGTGACAGGACTGGAGGTGCTCACTGATGATGGAAAGCCCCTCAGTCAGGTGACACTGCAATGTCCTTGCACTGAGTCAGAGTAGTAGGAGCAACTGCCCACACAAACTTCCCATGTGTGTATGTCGATGTGTAGTGTTCAGAATCTGAACTGGATTGCTTCATTTTGTTAGCAGCTTGCATTTATCTGTGCACATCATAAATACATTCCCTGTACATGCTGTACAAGTTTCAAAAACGAAAATGAAGACCATCTCTGCCCTGTAAGTTCAACTTCTACATATAGAAGGCAGACGAAAGTTGAGATGGAAGAGGGGCAGACAGTGTACTAGTCAAGAGCAGAGTCACTTACAAAGTGAGATTAAAATGAAAATTACCTGAATTCCAATTCAGTAGGCTGTCCACTAAACCCTGCAGCTGTAGAACCTGGCATCAGGCACGAAAATAAACTTGATCACAGAAGTATATAGTCCAGACATATGTCTACAGCTCCATCCTCTCTGTAATGTACAATTTCTTGTAACTGGCACAAGATGGTGGCAAGTGAAAGCTTCTAGCTCTTTCCTTTTGTTGGTGGGTGATTTTTCCCAGAATACACGCTGGATTTGAGCCTGGGTTTTTTTCTTCAGTCCTGCTACTTTTTGAAGCTCCATTAAATCACAAATACGTTCCTCACATCCTTTTGCATTGGTAATAAAATGTTTTCTAATAAATTCTAATACAGCTGTGCAGGCAGCATAAAAGAGAAGAAATTACCCATAATACCAAGAAATCCTACCAACTCTGTACTGATTTTTGCTCAGGAACTCAACACAAAGGCCTCCACACCCACAGACACTGCAGATGCCAGCCTAATTGATCTGCGTTGAAATTGGAGGGTATCCACAAAAACCAGTAGGTGGTTTTGTTTCTTTTCCATTTTGTTCTCAGCAAAATGAAGTCCCTCTCACCCTGGAAGATTTCTTGAGATTCCGAAGGAAGAACATATGTTTTACGTGTGGCATGGTGCTGAAGACTGCACTTTCCAAAGATCAGGGTTCATTCGTTCATATCAATAGAAATCTAAGATAGAATGATAGTGTTACATTTGTTATGCTGTGGATACACACTGTGTGCAATGAAATGCATGCTACTGTAATGGGAACATGCATGTTTTGTTCTTAATTTTGTCACCTACATAAGGAAGCTGCACATCACTGTTTTTTTCTGAAAGATTTGGAAGTATTTTCTGTATTTCATCTATCCTCAGCTTTCTGAAATAGCTGATATTCTTCTGTAAGTCGATTTCTTAGTTTATTATGGTGGATAATGAAAATACTAGTGGCACATAATTAAATTTCTGCTTAATACAGTTTGTAATTTTTCTCTGCAAGTATCTGATGTGCAGAACTGTTCTCACACACACAGTAATACATCTACAAACAACAAGAAAGGGCAATTACTACGTATATCCTTAGAGCTACACACAAATATCTGCCACACTGCCTACACGGCTTTGGGTGTCCACTGTGTAGCATTTAAAGAGAGAAAGCATTGATGAGTTCAGACCTGCAATTACCTTCTGCAGCCCAACCCTAAGTTCTGATGCAGTCAATGGAGAGGAAGAGTTACAACGTCACTCTGACACTCCAATTGCTTTCTGACACTGAAAAGGCAGAATAATGTCCTAAGGTATCATAGGTTCTGTACAGATGCTTTCACTACAGTCACTTGTTAGCAAGCAAATGGGAGATATTCATGTAACACATTTCCATGGAAATGTCTATGCTAGTTTGAGGTCGAAGAGCTGATTTTTTTCCACTTGGTTTAGGCAAGGTGCCAGGGCACACATAAAGGTTGAAGGATTTACTATAAACTGTTCTTTATTGCATTATAATATGCAGTTTGGGCCATGGGAAAAACTCAGAATAGATAATCATTTGCTGTCTCAAACAAGATACCTATAAAGGGAGTTCAAAAGGAGAAAGGCTGTGCTCACGTTATCAAGCAGAGTGGTGCAGAAGAAGCGTATCTGTAGCATGAAACAGTTGGATTAAGGACCTGGTAACCACAATCACACTGTGTGTGTTACAGAGGGAAGGTTATTCTGGAACAGCTCAACCAGCCTTGGTCTGCTCCCCTGGACAGAATGCTCAGTAGCAGTGTAAGTGAATCACGTGCACTCCTGTAGTGCACCTTAGCATCTCCTCCTAAGCAAACCCTTTTTGTGTGCTCTCAGACTACTCTTCAATGCAAATCAAAGCAGAGTAAAGCAGGATAATCCACAGCTCAGTTTCAGTTTCACTCCTGATCTAACCACCATAATGCTAGTGACCAAAAGAATTTATTTATTTGTTCAGGTTTAATTTGTTTGGTTTTGTTATGATGCAAACAGCTATTAAAGCAATGCAAAGACTGTCAGTGTCAATGGCGGAGCTTCCTTCCTCCATGCAATGGAAGGGGTATGATTACTGATCAATAAAAGGTGAAGGGAGCAGGAAAGGGAAAACAACAGTGACTGCACATACATTTTGTTAGCCATAAGTGACATCTTTCCCACAATTAACGATCCCTAAAACTGCATGATTTCAGGTGAATGTGGATGCTCAGGCCAGAATAATCATTGGAGGCAAAATTAACATGTTAATTTTGGCTTCTTGGCACACTAGGAAGTATTGAACAGTATTAATGCCACTTGAACTACGACTTTTTCAACCGAGGAGAGCTGCAAATAGGCATTTATAAATTAATACAGTGTGTAAATATGCAGAGATGCTAAATTTGGACCAGAATTTCTTAAAGGCTCCTGAGCCAGAATGTATAGAGTCATGCTATCAGTCCTCAACATTTTTATGGTCTCATTAAGAGACTAAGCCTAATTAGTATGCAGATGTTCCCCTGTGGTGAAATACCCAAAATGTGTCTCTTTTTCACTGTTCCGTTGACTTGGTATTATCAGCATTCCTTCTCTAGTTAACAGGATCCATAATTTCTTTGTGTAAATGAGTTTACTCTGGTAATAAATCGGAAAGAACTGCATCTGCATTGCTCTTTTATTGCTAACAGTTTCTTAAACTCTGAGGAGCGTGCAGAAATTAGCTCATACTGAAATGTGAGGCCAAAGAAACTAAAGCCAAAGGGAGGTGGCCTAAACACTGGCTAAACGTCTAAGATGTCAGAACCTGCACAAAGCTGAGCACAGAGAACAGCACAGAAGGTCTTAAAGTGCACCTGCTCTGCAAACTGCACACAAAGGCTGCATTGTGCTGGCACGGAGGTGGAAGATTTCCATCAGAGCTGATAAAAACTCCAACTACCAAACCTGGAAACCACACACAGCCATTGTGGGGAGGAGGAAAGTGCTCAAGACAGCCTGTGTAGTTTTTGCTCATGTTTTTCCCCCATTCTCACCAGCATTCTGAAAAAAAAAAAAAAGCCCAGCTGGCTGAAGCTCTGATTGCCAGCTGTGTCTCCAGTGAGGCAAACACCAGAATGGCTGCAGCCTCATAAAATACAAATATGTCCTTAGCAGCCCATTTTTATCATCAGGTTACTCTGCGTTGCTCACGCCGTGTTTACACAAAGCTCCCATTTAAGCTGCTGGCTTTATACTGAAGGATGCAGACACCGGGGAGCTGCTATTTGAATTTTTATTACGAACATGGGAACTCTCCTTTTTCAGCCCCGTTTTGGTTGGGGGCTATAAAACCCTTCATGCATGGATGTTAATATCCTTGGATATTAAAAAATAATAATGTAGGAATCTCGGTGCTTCATGCCCGTTGTGGAAATGGTAACAGTCATTATGCTCTACACTGAGCTGAATGCTGAGTGAATGCTGGTGTAGCCTGCACCGGTCCCTCAGGGAAGGCTCTTTTTGTTTTCCAAGCCAAAAACCATGGCTGACAAATTCAGCAACAGATGTCTGCGAGTTATCTCCTTATTATTATTATTATTATTAAGCGAATTATCTCGCTTAAAAGATAAGGCCGGAACAGGCGGGAAAGGCGAGTCACCGGGCGCGTCACGGCAGCACACAGCCGGCTGCGGACCTCCGCCCGCCTCACCACACGGCCGCACCCCAATCCCCGCCCCGCCCGCAGATGAAGCCACGCCCCCTGCGCGCTCTCCCAACCGGAAGTCGCTCTCCCCTTTCCCGGAAGCGGGTTCCGCCCGCCGTTCCCCGCCGGCTCCTCTCACTCCGCAGCCCGCCCGGCCCCGCCCCTCGTCCCGCCGCTGGCCGAGCGCGGGGGCGGTGCCAGGGCTCCGCTCCGCGCCCCGCCCGGCCCCGCCCGCCTCACTCGCTCCTCCGGCGGGCAGCCCGGCCGCAGGTGAGCCGGGAGAAGCGAACGGGAAGGGTGGGGGGAGCTGCGGTCCGGTAGGGGCCGGCGCCTGTTCCTAGCGGCGGCGGGGGAGCGCCGCGGCCCGGCCCCTCAGCTGCGTCCTCTTGGGCTCGGCGCGGCCGTGGGGAGAGGCCTGGGGGCCGCCGGGTGCTGCGGGTGCTCGGCTCGTGTTGCCGCCCTGCGGCTGGGGGCGTCGGGAGGAGCGCTGTGAGGGCCGGGAGAGGCGGCTTTCTGCCAGACAAAAGGTGCGGAGCGAGTTCCCCAAATCAAGGCGGCTCTCGGCTCCTCGGGTTGATCGGGAGTTGGGGATTTTAGTGGCGACTGGTGGCTCCCACGCCTTCCCTCTGGTTGAGCGTCTTTCGGAATGAAGGTGTGAAGTGGGCCGTGTCCGCCCCTGGAGTCACCCGTGGAGATGTCTGCGTCCGAGCCGCGTGTCTGCCTTGTGGCATCGCTGTGCTGCCCTGGCAGAAAGCACTCGTTGGTTCCCTGGCTCGAAGTGACCCTAAGCTTTACCTCTTCTTAGCCTGCTTACTCATCTAATAGCTCAATATTTGGGTTCTGGGAACTTGCGAGCATTCATGGAAGGGCTGTGTAATCTATAGGTTCTTGCTGCAGGGTTTAATCCCTTTCATCCATGCTCGTGAGAGTTAAGCTTTTTTGTTGTTTTCTTTTCCCACCGACATTCAAGTGATAAAAATTTAAAAATAAAGTGGCTTGATCTCACACAGAACAGTCCAAAAAGCATCCAGACCTCTGCATGAGAAGTCAGTTGTGGGGTTAAACATGCTGTGTTACTGAATGGCAGACCACAGCCAGGTTTACTTCTCTAAATACAGTTGTGTTCTTAACCACCACTAAGCCATACATCGACATCCTTGCAAATATCTTTAAAGGGGGTTTCCCTGAAACAGGAATGTTCTGTCCACGGTGAGCCTTTACTCCTGTTAGATTTCGAGTGCATCTGACTTGGAGGATAAAATTGCTGAAGCAGAGGATGTTCCAGCTTAGAACCTGGTGTATTCCAGTCACTGGGAGTCTCAAACAGTAATATAGGTATGGCGTCTTGTTACATAAAAAGTTGTTGAGGCAAACATCTCGGCTAGTTGCCACCAGCATTGTTTGCCCTGCAGCTTCTCAATTGGAGAAAAAAATAATTGTATAAAGAAAAAAATTCTTGTAGCTCCTTGATTAGGTTTGTTTGTTTTGCAACCAGGAGGGTGCTATAGGATATGGTGGGCCTGGGAGTAAGCTACTGATCCCATGCGTGGTGTGTTCTGGGCAGGAAGCTCCTCACCCCCTCAGGAGTGTTTACAGCCAAATTCCAGTGAACTCCTAGTACCTCCCAGCTATCGGAATTACTTAGAATCTAAATTGAGATGTGTTTTAAGTGAACGAGGCAGTTTGGTATGCTAGTGACAGTATTCTAATGAATACATTACAACCTGCCCACATCACACATTCAATTACCAGGTGGCTGTTTTAAGGCTCTTTCCTTTGTAATGAAGAATGGATGTGATGAAGGAAGGAAATAGAACAGTTGGTATAATTAGTGCAAATCTACTGGACATTCTGCAAAATGTTGTATGAATTTCTAAGGGAAGAAATTGTTATATGTTGTTATTCTACCTGTTGCAGAAAACCAGCTCAGGATAGTTGTGAAATGTTACTGGTGAAGTATGTGGAATCTGAAGTGTCCAGTCCTTGTGGATGTGAAGAGCTCAGAGTCCCTTAAATTGGAGCAAATCTGGTTTGCAGACAGACCAAGGAATTGTTAAATCCTGTTTTGCTTCTTAGCACGTTTCCTTAACAAGTTGGAGTTGGAGCGAGCACCTGCCAACCAAGGGTTTGTTGGTGGTCACTGCAGTGTGTCCAGGATTTTTGGTAGGCGTGAACCCATGTATCCAAAGGGCTGGGCAAGAAGGCTGAGTCTTAGGAGCTTTCCACAACAGTAAAATCTATTTTAGAACTTCCTACAGAAACAAACAAAACAGTACTGGACTTAGGGGTGGATGCAGATGGGAAAGAAATGCCATATAAGCTAAGTAATGCTGCTCTAGAACTTCTTGATGAAAGAGAATTGGTTGCACATAGGGTGACTTAGTCATTATTGCTAATGTTTGGTTAGGATTAGTTTGGCGTCATCAAAATCCCCAGCACCGCTGGGGCATAGAATGGTGTGCTGTGCACAAAGGGGAAAGATGGAGAAACAGGTGTGTAGGAGATGGTAGACAATGTAAAGAGGAAGTATAATGAAAAAGTCACTGTAGAGAATTCAAAAGAAGCTATGCTGTATGCAGTTTATAATGGTAATACAGAGGGGAGCCAAGGATGCAGAAAAGGTAGCACACACAAGACAGAGTGGGTTGTATAGTAACTCAGCAGTCATTACCTAGTGGAATAGATGATGCTTATTCTGTGATATTGGCTCCTTAGTTCAAGTGATTACATTATAGATGAAATTCCTACCCGTACAGCTCATTTAATACGCTGTATTGTTTTCTCCAACAGAAAGTTTATTACCTCATCATTTGATGCGTCACTGTGGGAATGCTTGGTGCAGAGTGGCCCACACAATTTCATTAAAAACTGGCATGTAAATGCACTGTATGACCAAATGAGTACTTCTGGAAATTAAAAACATGTGGTTCTGCAAAGGAGCTTTGCACCTGTGCTTAGTAGGTGGGTAGCAAGGAGCTGCCATGCACTCAGGCCCTGCTTCATGCATCGTTTTACTCCAAAGTCCTCTTGTCCTCTTCTGTGTCACTGTTAGACTCAATCTTTAACTCTGATTCTTGTCTCCCGCTGTCTGAGAATACTTATGTGTAACACCCACATGTAGGCAAGCAGAAATGTTTCCATCAACATTAAGTAGAGTGTGGTAAACATGGAATTCTTCCAAACGTGGAGGTCCTACTCAAAACAAGGAAAGCCATCTATGCACTGTGTTGTCCTTTTGCTAGTTCTCCTCTTGAATGAAGCACATCCAGCAGCACAGAGGAAAGCTAACCTGGCATTTCAAGCCTGTAGCAGGGTAGTCTGGTATCCAGCGTGGCACAGTAGACGTGTGCTCTCCTTAAAGGGCATTTGTTTAGCTGGAATTAACAAATTCCATACCTTTCCCTATGGAATTTATTTCAGACTTCAAAATGAAGTAACTGGTACAGACAGGAAAGCAGCATTACTGAGCAGTGCAGTGTGCCCAGTGATGTCTGTCACGTTGGAGGCACTGCTGGCTTGTCAAGTGGTGCCATGGAGAGTGTTTGAGATGAGGGGCATGAAGGCTCAACTTGAAGCATGGGTGTGAGAAGCTTGTTCTTAACTATATCAGCATTACTGCAGAGGTCAAAGTAAGCAAATTCAGGACCTGAATAAAAGTAATTACTGTGTGGCTGAGCTTTTTTTGGTAGGATAGTACCTTTTTACACAGTTTTTAGGCAGTTGACCACTTAATTCCCCTTTTGCATATAACGTGCAAATTAAACTTCATTCCGAGCACCAGGTTTCTTGGATTTTAAGGAATAATGCTTTAAATCACACATTCTAACATCTGGTTTCTATAAGGTCAAAATCTGTACTTAACAACAGCTAACTTGAGAGTTCATTGCAGTGCTTCAGTGACTGGTCCTGTGTGGCCATCACCAGTGGCTCATTGGACCTTCTTGTACCTTCAATCCTCTGACTTCTACATTTTTGAAATGGTCACTGCTTTTTAACTGTATAATACATCTTTTGGGTTTTTTTTAGCTAAGGAAATTCATGCTGCAATATCAGTGGTGCAGCACTAGTCTGTGTGAGTTTGAATTGCTAAAGCCTCCTTTCTTCCTGCTCCTGTTGTGTATTTTTTCCCTGCTGCTGATCAGGCATAATGGCCGTGAGATTCCAGCTCATTCATATGCACTGCAGTTATGGTATATAATAACACAAAAGAACTTAGCCTGGGAAGAAAGCACGAGAGTCTGGATTTTGGGCTGCGTGGTCATTCAGAATTTGAAGAGCAGGTGCTTTTGGGCTAAGGACCAGAAATGGCTTTCTTTTGAGCAAGTGCACCTTCTAAAATTATTAAGAACTTCGTGTTGCAGTGAAAAGGGACATCTGCATATAACTTCAGTAGTGAAATTGTGTGGTCTGTGATGTTTTGGAGTACCAGAGAAGGAAGATGTGCAGTGCGACTTGTTGAGATGCATAAAATGGTATTACTGGATTGTTTTTCCCTGTTAATTGAAGATTGCAGTAAGAACAATAATAGGTGTAAGAAAGCTGCTAGTCTGAATTACTACTTTGGTTTGTGTCATTACTAATTTAGTTTTAACTATAGTGCGACGTAAGGAACCATTTTTAGAACAATCCATTTAGAAATACAGTGGCATTTATTTCAGGGATACTTAAAAAGTTACCTGAATGATGTCTTTCAGCTGCTGCACTCTTTCAGAGAAGAACTTGTCTTGCAGTCGTGGCTGTGGGCTGGAGCTGTTGCTGCCCTTTGGACTTGGCAGCGTTGTGTTCTAAACCTTAATTCAAGTTATATCTCAGTCTTCTTGTTTAAATCTTGTTGTGATAACAACTTAGATCTTAAGTTGTGATCTCTGCTGTTTACCCTGCTGCTACCGCTTTGAAGAAAGAAGAAGCCTGCTTTTAACCAGCGCGTCTTCACCATCTCTAAGGACCCTATGCAGACATTGCTAACCAGCATTGCCTGCGTTCAGAACTAGGTGGGTTGTGAGCTGTAGATGGATGATGTGCGAGGCCCACAGGTGGTGATGCACAAAGTATTTTACACAAACCTATCCGTGTATTACCATGCAACTGGCTTCCTGTCAGCCACAAACTTTGAGTGGGCATCTATAGTTATTAGCTTTACTGGTGGGTTTATGGTCACAGTTACACCTAAAAATAATTTTGTAGGGCAATCACTGATCACCAGAATGCTGCTGTTTCTCAGCAGCTCTTTGTTCAGCTACCAGAGACTGGGATATGAACTGCTTTTTCTTTTTTTTTTTTATGATACAAATAGCTTGGGAGAGTCCTGTGGTTTTGTTTTTGATGGTGGCTTTGTTTGCTTTGCTTTTGGGAAACTTTGCTAGCCTGTTAACATACTTGGTCTTGCCAGGTAATTGTTGACTTGGTGCATGTGGAACTTTTGTAGGAGGAAAGCTTATGTGACTGTGTTCTGCTTTTAAATTGAATGAAGGTTAACCAACATCTGTTTTATTTTCTGTCTTGCAAGTGTTTGTGCTTAACAGCTTTAGGAGTCAAAAGGGGTAGAAGAATGAAATTATCCAGTAAAGACATTCTGTATAAGACATAGAAGTTAGAAATGAGCTCACATGTGCAGCATGCACAGTTTGAGTATTTTGAAGAACATTGTGAAACGATATTAGCACAAGTGATTTTGTCTGCAGTTTGGCCAACTGGAAGAAAATAATCTTCTGTTTGACAAACAAAGTTTTGTATTGTAGTCTTTCTAAGTTGTTTTTTGTTTGTTTTTAACAAACTGAGGAAGAAGTAGTTATTGGAGGAGAAACTGAAGGAGAAACAATTTTGTAACCAAATGCTGGTGTTTTATGTTTAACAGAAATGTGAGCAGTGAGGTACAACATAATACAGCACTGAAAAGGCTATGGCTAACTCAGGCTGCTGTAGTTACTCTTGGATTTGTCAGCAATTTGAAGGAAAGATTTTCAGGGAAGTGTTTTTGTCCTGTTCCAGATTTAGGTCCTTCCTGCTGGCTGCTATCTGGCAATGACAGGAGTGAGTTATAACACAAGAAGCTTGTCCAGAGTTTGGGCAATATTCAGCCTGTATGTGTATTAAGGAAAAAGGCTGTGGAGTTAGATTCTGACTCTGCAGACCTGACACTATTGGAGATTACTGCAGCTGAATTGAAAGCATTCAAATGATCAGCTAGAAGTACAATGTTTTTGTGAGTCGGCAGTAGTGAAGGTTTTTCAGGCCAGGGGAAATCCTATATTACGCTGTGCTGTATTGAGAGGATATTAGGTCACATAGTGCCGACTGGAATTTACAAGTTCAAGGAGATGCAATTCAAACTCGGGCAGTGTTTAGTGTTGCAACGTGTGTAGAATTAATTTGGTTAAATGTAGATGAAGATACCAGATTTCACCATAGGCAGACTTCTCTGGTACTTCTCTGGAAAGGCTGACCTTGAAAATAGGCTGGGTATAGCCTGTGGCTGCTACTGGAATGCCATGTACCTTTAATGTTGTGTGGCTGACCTGAGGAAGAGAGCCTGAGACCCATACGTAGAGGTATATACCATCTTCACTGGTGGCTTTTCTAAGGTTTCTCGAATTTGGGATGTGACTGCAAAATTAATTCTACACTGGCACTTTGTGTGGAAAGTGGCAAATTGACCTGAATACTTAAAACTTCATAAGAAGTTCATGAACCAGACGCTGTATTTCTAGTGGCTGAGTGTTTTGTGATATGTTAAATAGCCATTAGCTGCCGTGTGTCATACAACTGGCAAGCAATATCGACCAAAAAGCAATTAGTTGGGTCTTTTAAATCTACTGGATGGATTCTTGCTGAGTTTTCAAATGGTAGACCTAATAGTTGTAGAATAAACGATATCTATAATTGGAAGGGATCAGACTCAGTGGTGTTTCAACTTCGTGAATGCTGGATTAACATGCAGCATCAGGTCTGTAACTGCTTTGTATTTGAATCACCTGCTCAAAAGGTTAATTGCAAGTCCTCGTGTGTTTGCAAACTTGTCTCTTTGAGTCATGCAGATCAAATCCTTCTGCCATGAATAAAACAGAAAAACGATCAGGATTTTAGGAAGAGCAAGTTGCTCAGTGTGGAGAGTTAACAGGAGGGGGAGAAGATACTGAAGAAAATATGGCTGCAAAATTAACGCT